GTCAAGAATAAAGGGAAGTCGGATTAACAAGAACACATGTACTTTTATTAAATATGATATTATAGAGAGAGCAAAGCTAGCGCGCGAAACTTCGAGATTTGTTCGCCGTTCGTCGTCAACGAACGTCATATCTCTCTTTCTTTGTGGACATGTGCAGTATGAAAAAGATCGCTTATAAATAGATATTGTTACTTGGCGACTACTCTAAAGATCGAAAATCATCATTCACCAGCCTTAAAATTTGTTTTTGACGAACAAACGATCGTTTTTTCAATGAAAAAAATCTAGTAAAAAAAAAAAAAAAAAAAAAAAAAATCGCGATTTCGTCAAAAGAGATGCGCGCGGGGATGATAAACTAATCATTTTTTTTATGGGGCCTAATCAGACATTGGAACCAACTTCTTTTCCACTTGTTAAATGTTCAAAGCGTGATTTTTGATATTTATGGTACAAGCCAACCATCTACATTCCTTTTGGCGGGAGATTAATGCTTGTTTACTGTGTGCGTAAAAATAATAAAAGAAAAAATAGTGCCTATATGATATTCATCCCAACGTAAAATAATAAAAGATCTTGAGTTCATGTGTTGATGGTGTAAGGGCAGATAGAAAAATATATTTGATTATCACTGACTTAAAAAATTTGTGAGCGAGAGAATTAAAAATATCCAGATATGGTGTAGGCCTATTTAAATAGAAGAAACATAATTAAATTAAAGAGAATCTCAAAATTTACAATAAAGATGAAGTGTATTTGCATATTTGTGTAAAGTGTATTACATCTAAAATAACAAAATGCTCATATAACATCTGCGTCATTGTTTGATATGGACTTTCCGCATACCACATGATGGTATGTTTAATGAGAAAAAAAAAAACATTTTTTATTACCGTGTCAAAATTTCCCAAATTTTTGATGAGGAAGTGAGTGATAATCTAACACTTTTTTCTATAGGCTCTGATGAGCATTCAGAATGAAGTTGGCACTGCTTTTAAGTAAAGCAATGAGAGAAATTAACACATGCAACAACGAACCAATAATATTAAAAACTGCAATTTGTACCCACATTTTGACTTTTGGTTGAGAAGTTGGCCTTTGTATAAATTGGATGTTATTTGGTGTTAATAATATTTTGCATTTGTATAATTTACTAATAATAAGTGCATGCTGAATCATTTTCTGAATCTTAACCATTTGTTTAACTTCCATTGTTTCATTTCTTGATAACTTTTACCTTTTTTCCAAACTTTCTCTTTGTATTTACATGCAGTTTCTTCTTTTCCTATGTGTTTGTCTATGCTGAGCTTTTGGACAATAAAAATTCAATATTTAGATTGCTCTATACTTTGACTTGAAAACTATAGAAAATACTGTACTTGCCTTCAGAATTTCAAAAGATTCGTAAATACGTTTATACAGTAGTATACACACCAGTAAAAGCCTCAGCCTCAATTTGTTCTTATTTTGTTCTTATTTTTTAAGCAATTTTAGCCTCAGTATTCTTATAAAATGTCTTCTTAAAAAAAAAAAAATGTACTGTATTCATTTTATAGAGCCTTAGATTCATTGGCACTGGCTACAGGTCTGACTCCAGTTCATCTCATTTGCTTTCATGAAAAGAACATTTTCATTGCAAATAATGTTGTCCAACTTGAAAAAAGAAGTTGTTGTCATTGTAATACAATATTTTAAATTGATCATGGCTGGTGGATCCATTGTATAAAGATTTAATAATGTAAACAGAACTGAAGAAGTCAAAGAACTTAACAGGAGAAAAAAGACATGTTAAAATACGGTAAATGCTCGAGTAGGCACCACGGCGCTTATGACATTTTTGGAAGCTTTAGAGCGGCACTTATTCGAGAGCTGCACTTATGAAAAAGTATTGGCTTGGCGCTTTCTATGCCCATTCCTATGTTAACCACTTCACATATTCCTGTAGTTCGGTAGGCCTATCATAGATCCTACGTCATTGTAAATGAACATTTTATATATAAATACTTGCCTTCATTATGTTATTTATTCATTTTAACACTCTGTACATTGTATTTAAAAACCTGGGTAATATTACTCTTAAGCACCGTGGGGCTTATTCGAGAGCGGTGCTTAACGAAAAAAAAAATCATGTTTAGTGTGGTGCTTATTACACCATTTACAGTATTATTTTTTAAAGCAAACTTGTAATTATGCCAAGTGTTTTATTTCATCTGGGTAAATTACTAAAAAATTCCGGGAATGATATTTATGATTGTACAATGTTAAGGTGTAGCTTAAATTCCATTTATTTATGTACTGCATTCTTGAACTTTGACATTTGATTTTGAGTAAATGAAAACCACCTTGTGCAAAATATGTTCATTGATGCTACAGTGAAGGTCAAAACCACCTATAAGGTCAAAGCAATGAAATGAAGTGAATTGTTTTTGAATTTCATGGTCAATTCTTTTTTGGATGAAATACTTCCAGGTTTAGTAAACAGTAGCACCTATGTATAAAATAAAATACCATATATGGAAATATATTTATTGGTGGTACTTAAGTACAATGCTAAGTACTGTAACAGTAGTTATTGGTGACCGTACATCATGAGACCTGGTTTCGTGAACTTATTTAAAAAAAAAAAAAATCTTCAGAGGAGGGCAAAAAAAAATATAAAAGTAAAATGATGTTTTCTTATTTAGCAACTGGTTTTCAGTGCTAAAAACATTCAGACGGATGATAAAATAAAAGTAAAATTGTATTGGTCAATGTATAACAGTAATGGGATGGTTAAATGCTTTAAATTTATATAATTAGAAAGAAATTATACATATCATATTTTTGGAGATTTCAAGGCAGGGGCGTGCGTAATAAAAATAAAGAAAATTTTTCAAATTTTTATCGTGGCAGTGGGTGCACTCATTGGCCAAAAATACAATTTTATTTTTATTTGAAGTCATTATTATTGCCAGGCGGTAGGTTTGCTAAACAAGTTTTAAAATAAGTCTTCTCTTAAATGCAAAGCCTAATACTATACAGTGGAACCAATCATGGAAGAAAACTATCTTGATCTACAGTAGGTATTATTTTACAAATACCTACATGATGATGTAATTATCAAGGGTGTTTTTAAACTGCATTACCATGGCAATAAAGCGTGGCAGAGTTCCTGCAGTGGTACCATGTCTCCCAGAAGGAAGTTGCGGGAGTCATCCCTGAAATCAAGATGGCCTCCTCCAATCACGCAAGTAACCAAGAATCTCCTAGAAACTAACCAATATTCTGCAAATTCATAATATTTGCATGTTTTTACTTCTAGCACTTTATTATCGATTGTCTTCACGGAAGTCAGATGTTCTGCCATGCACAACAAAATGAAATTAAATGTTTTAAGAAACTTTTTAATTTAACCAAATATCCCCTGCTTCTGTACTGTATGTCGTCAAGGGGATTAAATAAAAGTAAATCATGATTTTATACTTAATTTACCAATACAATCAGAATTTAAGTTAAAATCGCGTTACTTTACATCTAGTCCATTAGAGTGCTTGTACTGTTAAAGTAATAGTTTACATTATTGTGCCATATGCAGTGGTGGATTCGGGGGAGGGTCCAGTCAGCCTGTTCCTCCCCCTCCCTCCCACCTAAATTTTTCAAAATAATAAAAAAAAATGGAAAGAAAAGGAAAATTTTAATTAAATTTAGGTCTGGCATTGCTATATCCGGCCATCTAGAGGCGTCAAAATCATAAATTGGTGGGGCTTGGATGGTACAAACCTCCCTCCCCCCCATTTATCTCTTCATGGGTCCCCTTTATTTAAAATTCCTGGATCCGCCACTGATATGTAAACAGTAAATAAAGTACACACAAGGAACCGTCAGTATGTGAAGTTCTGTGTACAAACTGAGTTTTATGTGACAAATATTTGCTTTTTCCATATATGCATATGTTATGACATCATCCTATTCAAATCCCAGATACGAAGCTTGATAGTATAAACTGTAAAACACAGCATTAGTAAAATAATTGACTAGTTTCTTTTTGTAAATATAACTTCCTCTCTATTTTTGTTGTTAATTTTGTGAAACTGACAGTATAGAGTACTGTTACAACTATATAATTGTCTATTGTCGAGGTGAAAGGTCATACCTACTTTAAAGATTATGTTTTTCAACTGAGTATTATAGAAAGGAAGGAAACTATAGAAGTAGCAAGATGAAATGATAAAAATTGGATGATTCCAAATGGCACACTTGAGTGTTACTTTTTAAAGTTATTGACGAAAAACAAATATCTAAAATCTATATTGTGTCTAATACAGTGTAATAATATAAGGTGCTTTACTGCATAGAATAGGCTTTGTATGCATTTTAGAACATTAATGTGTTGTCTAGGATCATTCAAGGGAAAAAAAACTATACAAATTAAATATTTATTGAAATATGTGAACAATATTTCGTTTCATTTCGATGTCACAAAAAGAGGTTGCTTAGTAAGTTTGGTTGTTTAAGTCGTGTGATATCATGACATGTTTTTTGGTTTTTGGAAGTTTAAGGTCTGGAAGTATTATAGAAAACATTATGGAAATTGTTTTACAAACCCTGACTATGTAAATTTTATTATTGTTGTACATTACATTTAGTTTTAAAAATTCTTAGAACTGTAAACATTTTTTTCATTTACAAGTTACATGTAAGTTGAATCAATGTTTATACAATTTTGTGACAAAGATTTTTGGTTATTTAATAATTTTCAGTATATTTAAATTCTGAAGTGTTGTTTCTCTTCTTTTTTTTTTCTGCAGTGTATTCACTTTCGCTTTACCTTTTTCACCGTCAGCAAATTGAATCATTTTTGTAATTTTTTTCTCTCAACTTTACTCTTATGCTTGCCTTAATGGTGTGCTGAAATGCAGTTGTTTCAAAAGTTTGACCTTTTTAAATTCATTTTCTTTCTTCAAACTTCTTTGCATCATTCAGTTTGTTTATGATGTTACAATCTCATTGCTTTTGGTAAATTTTGAAAAACTAACTAAAAGTATAAGTTTGTATATTGGTTGTTGATATATGCCTATTTACTGCCTCTACATGAATTTTCAAAGTTGATTTGAAAAATATTGTTGCTAATTGTTTTTCGTGATGATTTGATTGGCAGGGTGAACTAGAGGCGCAACTACTCCAGGCCAATCCGATTCTAGAGTCATTCGGCAACGCAAAGACGGTGAAAAATGACAACTCTTCACGATTTGTAAGTTTAATTTGTTGTAATACTTATATATTTCTTTTGCATCCAACTGCTTATAGGATGTGTCTGTGTTATGGTGTTTTCATTTCGTTTATTACCGTATATACTCCCAAATAAGACAAGGATTGAAATAGTAAATTTCAATAGAAAAGCCTAATGTTCGCTTCTTATACGTGTGACATACAAATTTTGGATTTTTATAGTCAAGTTCGTCTTTTGTGCGAATTGTCCATTAACATGCAAATTTACTACTACAATAAAGCTACTACTAAAATGTTAGGCCTATGAGGAAACTAAATTTTAAAGGCGTGGAAATAAGATTTTGTGGAACTGATATTATTTAAAAGATAGCCTTGCATTTGGCTCTGTTTTTAGCCGGCTAGATCAAAACCGTAAAAAACACCAAAAATTTGAATTCTGACAATGAATTGGGGGATTTTTTTTATACGCCCGACGATGCAAAAATTGTCCAAAAACTACAGTATGTCTACTATGCAAGCTTCAATGTTTTTTTTTTTTAAATCGGATAACAAAAGAGCAAAGAAATCACTGCATGCTTAAAGCTAAAGCAAATCTCAGTCTATTAAATATACAGAAGTTCATACACAATGCACAAACCTGTCTGGTCTCTGGGGACTATTGATAGTATGTGCAAGTAATTTAGCACAAACTAATTTCATACAAAATAATTCCTACCAGCTACACATTTATCCTCCTGGGTGGAGAGATACAAACTTAGATAATAGTGAGTATTAGATCTCAGATTACGAGTAATCTAGCACCATACGCTAATTTTCTTACATGTGGCACAACGTGCAAAAGAATATGAATAAAGTTTTATTTCGATTAGCAACAACGCAGTTGAGGCCGTGGTAGCGTATCGCAATATAGTGTGCTAGTTAGATAGAATGAGTTGACGCATAGGTATGTTTTGTGTGTATTTGATTGGTCAGGACACTTTCTACTACCGTACATTCAAAGTTTATTTTCACGCCCCGGACGAATGAACCGACGTTTATTCATTTAAATTGGCGTAAATTTTACATACTTAATTAGATAATTTAGATCATAGGAAGATGTGAGGAGCAATTTTATCATCACACTTAGAAATTTTTTATTTGGATGCTTCTGTCATAAAACAGAAATAGTGTTGCATTCCACTTTGTTAAGCCTATTGTTGTGTTATTGATAAGGCCGAATATTTAAACCTCAAATCAAATTTGCTCAGAAAAACTGAGTTATGTGCTTGTCAGCATTTCTCGGTGACATCTGACCCCAATTTTGCATGCGGTAACTTGAACCTGTTCAGTACACAAGAGGTGAAGAATGCTAGCCTGAGACTAAATGAACAGAGAACAAGAGCACAAATTGTTCCCAAGTGCAAAGAGAGACAACTTAACATTCATTATGTTTTGTACTGTTGTAAAACTGCTTTGAAGGGGAGGGCATAATTTATACAGTTAGCTGTAGCCTGGTAGTTAAGATTATTTGCCTTTTTATCTCAGGACCCACTGAAAAATTGCTATGCAAAAAAATAAGCTGTAGTCAAAAATCACCCCCATCACTTGATTCTCTCTGCTAACTCTCATCTCTTTCCCACCATTTCCTGTGACATTATCAACCATGTCAATCAGTTCTACTAATGTAAAACTAGAGCTTGGTAAAATAAACAAAAAAATTAACAATCCGTTTTCATCCCTATATAAGGAGTACATCCTTAATAGATAATTTGTTTTATATAGAGTCTCCCCTTTAATTTTGATAACATCCTTTCAGGGGTCCTGTTGCTATGAAATTACCAACAATTTTAAGCTCTTAAAACTTGGATATTTCCCCAATAAATTTCATTGATTTTTTTCATTAGTATTTATATGTAATTTTACTTCCTTCAACATTTTAGAGATTGGTATAATTTCATTGTTTATAGTGTAAAATAGAAAGTAGAATATTAAGTACAAGATAGATATTATAGTAAATGGATATTAATACATAGAATATTATTCATTATAAATTATATTTACTTAATGCTATAATATGGATGGATTTATTTGGTGTAAACACAAAGCTTAACCCACAAAAATCTGAAGGAGGATGTATTTCCAGTGGGGTCCTTCTGGTTGTTTTTGGGTAGTACACTGGGCGACTGAGCAAGATAGATATTATAGAAATGGATATTAATACGTAGAATATTCATTGTGAGCATTATAAATTATATTTACTTAATGCTAGAATATGGATGGATTTATTTGGTGTAAACACAAAGGTTAACCCACAAAAATCTGAAGGACTTACTTCCAGTGGGGTCCTTGTGGTGGTTAGTACACTGGGCGACTGAGCTAATGTTGATGACAATGCTGTGTTTTTTTTTTTATACGATCTCCTGTTTTAATGTCTGAGGTGCATGTAACCATGTGGTTTACTTTTACTTTGCAGGGTAAATTCATCCGCATCAACTTTGACACATCGGGCTACATTGCAGGAGCCAGTATTGAAACTTGTATCCTTTACCAGCAAATTTTACATTGCAAAATATTATCAGAATCATAATTTCAAAATATGTCTTATTCAGATGTTAAACATCATCAGACATGTTTAGAATGACATTGTATAACAAAAAAAAAATTTTATTGATGAAAAAATATACAACAATTTTAACAGAATTTGCCAATTTACAATAAATGTACACCAGGTTTAGGGTAGTGAGGATATTTGAGTATTTTGTCGTATAAAAATAAATGAATAGAGAGCAGATAGAGAAGAGAAAATCTAAGAAAACAAACTCGAACTGAGGAAAGGCCACATTAAAATTTGATGTGGCGCAGAAGCCCATGAGAGAGAGATAATTGAATAAGAAAGAAAGCTAATTTTCCAAAAATAAATTTTAACTTTTATTCTAAATCATCATTGTTGGCAGGCAGAGGTCTCGCTAAACAAGGTATAAGAAAAGTTTAGCCTTATTCTTATTGGTAAAAAGTGAGTAGGAATTTTTTTTTCCCGGGACATCTCCATGCTAAGCTGAATTTGCTCATGTGTGTGCTGTAACAGACATTAATTTGCAGATTTTGTTTGTGTTAAGAGACTTTAAATTAACGTGATTAGATTTATTGGAGAAGGCCCGAGTTATCCGCCAGCAATCGACTGAAAGAACCTTCCACTTCTTCTATCAGATGCTTATGGGTACCACACCAAAACAGAAAGGTAAGACAAAATAATTTTCATAAACATTTACGATTCTTCCCCTTAATCTTATTTCCATATTTTAAAATATTTATGTTCTGGGATTGAACTCAGCACCCTGGGTTTAAAGCCGGGCACCTCAACCACCATGTCAAATCTCTACTTTATGAGTTATTGTTGGTTCAGAGAGGAGCTTTTCATAAAAGATGCTCCAAATCCAATTTCTTATTGGCTCCTAATGCGCCATATTTGAAAATGTGTATTAATTGAACCAGCACGCTGGACTTCGAAGCTGGGCACCTCAACCACTTTGTCACAGTTTTATTTTTTGTGTTATGTGTTATTTGTTGGTATTGTTTGTTCACAGAGGAGTTTCTGATAACAGATGCTTCCAAGTACAAGTTCCTGTCGAATGGCAACGTGCCAGTCGCTGGGGTCGACGACAAGTCTGAATTCAACAGCACCATGGAAGCATTTGAAATCATGGGCGTCAGCAAAGACGATGTCAAATGTAAGTTTGCTTCCATTTAACAACCTTTCCCTAGTTACAGTTTGTTAGAGACCACTTTTGGGACCGGGGTTTCCATGGTTCTTTAGCGGCGTTGGTCTTTGGAATAATAAAGATAAAAGACATTTTTTAATATGGGACTACAGAAAAGTGGTTTTTAAATGGAGGTGGTCTTTAATTGGAGGGGTCCTTAATTAGAGGTAGACCTACACTTGGTCACTCCCTAGGTGTATATTATAGGGGTACACTCTATCTCTAGATCTATTGGTATATATGAAAAGTAAACATTCAAATTTGTTGGCATATAGGATTTTTCCTCTTCTCCAAATGCAGTAGCCACTGTCATTTCCTTAAATCATCCTTCAATAATTATTATCTCTAGTAAAAGTTTTTTTTTTAAAGTGAGTGATACCAGTTGTAATATGAACATAGCTATTTTAATATTTATGCTTTTTATATTATTGAAATGCTAACACTGTGTTTCCACAACAAATAAGAAAATATTCTTGATAAAAATGATCTGATGCTACCATTTTCAGATGCCCTAAGATTAAATTTGGTTTCTCTTTACAAGTGTTTGGCAGGATACTTGTTACTGCTATAACTATTAGTTTTACAAAATTTATTTTTTCCCCACCCATTTAATAGCCATTTATAATCACATGCAGGAAGAGATTAAAACAAACAGCGGATGAGCTTGCTGTAGTTAACAGCCTATAATGTTTAGTTTAAGGAGTTGGATTAGTTGTAGGACTGTGTTATGATTATATTGCTTGGCAATTTAGCCATAGTTTCCTTCACACAATTTGTCTTGTATAGTACCGTATATGGTTTTGTTCATGGTGATAACATATCATTTAACTACAAAAACAAAGTCAAAAATAGCTATTATTATTTAACCAATTTAAAGCATCAAGTTTTTACGAATTTATGATGGTACATCTTGTAAAGGAATTTAGGATCCATAACCGCAGGTCTGCAGATGCTGTATGTACCAGTAAACCAGGGTAATCCACTACTCATCTCAAAGGATGTACTGGGTTCTGTAGGTCCTACGGTTTATAGTCCTTGTCCTAGAAGGCTTGTTCCACCACCAGAACCATTTGTGAGTGTGCTGCGATATTATGGCTGTAGGTTATAAGGTTATGGTGCTCCTGCCTTAACATCAATATGAGAGAAGGAGTAAACATTGCCTTTTCTATACCTATTTATTGCCCATCATTGATCACAAGAAAACCCTAGGCTTACGTGTTCTGAAAACAAACTATAATTCAATATTGGCACCAGTCACATTGTAGGCTGTAATCGGATTAGTTATTCCATTTGAATGTGGTAATTCTTTGATGATTTTTAATATGTTGGAATCTGTTTGACCCAGTTTCTTGAGGAATCCAATAGAAGTATTGTCAGATATTTGCAAGGTGTCACCACAAAATGTGTCTCATGGTTAGGAAATAAAACATTGAGTTTATATTATATTTGGGTAGATCACATTATAAGCTTTAATTTGGTCTTTGAATGGCTTCCCTAGTATAAGTAGATCCATGTATGCTATCACATGTGAGCATTTAAAGTTTAGTTGTATGAGAACCATGTTTTGAGTAAATTGGCTGTTGCTGAAATATGGCTTCAATGAAATACTGTACAGCACTTTTTTTTGCGGCCCTATATTTTCGCGATTTTACAATTTGAAATATTTTGTGTCCTTCTATTTTTGCGATTTTTACGATTTCCTTCAGTTTTTAAACATGATGCAGAAAAAAACCTATCATTATGTTCTGTTGGCCTATATATTAGCAATATCCTACTCTCCCGATTTTGTCGCGAAAATTAAGGGCGCGCGAAAAAAGGGCTGTACAATGTAGGATTGAGAATATAGATTTTGTACATCTAGTGAAAAAATTGCAATTAAGGATTAATAAATGCATTCAATCCTTTTTCATTACAGCCATCCTGAAAGTTGTGTCAGGTGTTATGAAGTTCGGCAACATGGAGTTCAAACAGGAAAGGAACTCAGACCAGGCAACACTACCCGACTCGACGGTTGCCCAGGAACTGTGTTCTCTTCTTGGTATGAAGTACCTGGACTTCGCCAAAGCCCTCACCAGACCGAAGCTCAAAGTTGGACGTGATATGGTCCACAAATCACAAACCAAGGAACAGGTAATACGATAAATGTAAAGCTGTGTTGAGATTTCAAATATTCTTTGACCAAAAACTGTTGAATACCCATATATAGTCACGATGTGCCTATATATGGTCATGATGTGATGTGATCATGACCATATTCAGGCATGTCACATGTTTTTGTCAAGTAAATTTGGATAGTCTAGACCTGAGGGCTTATTGAGTTGAAACAAGTTTTGTATTCAAAGTTCATATCATATAGTCTTTGATATAATACATTGTGTCTGTGTATAGATGTATTGTGAGGTCACTTTACCATCGTCATCGTATTCTCCATCATAGTCAACAACATTAGACAAAATCTGTCATCATGAAGATTATCATTATTATAGTCATCGTTAACATTGTCATTATCATAATCAACATCATCAACAGCATTGTCAACATCATTAGCACCATCATTATCAATAACATAATCATTGTTATCAATGGGATCATTGTTATCATCATTATCATTTTTTACAGCATCAGCAACAATAATACATCATCAACTTCAAATCATCATTATCATCATCATCACTACTATCATCATAATCATCATTATTATGACAAGATCATCATCATTATCAGCAAGATAAATATAATCGTCATGAACAGCATTAGAATCAGCAACAAAAGAACATAATCATATAAACATGACAACCGAAAGGTCCACTGATTAATCTCAGATAAGATAGTATAATACATACTCCAAGTATCGAAATGCACGCCATCGTGTCGGGATTCAATATTTCGACATTAATTATGTCGTCATCATTAATGAAAAATTATCCATATTTGCAAGCTTATATGCACAAGTACCAAAAATGTTTGACCAATCAAAACATTACCCCTAGTAGGTGACACAGCTATGAATAAACTAAAGATCAAAGCATCCTTTAAAATCCTACTGATCAAAGTTATCTGCAAAAACAAAGAAAGCTCCTTTGAAGCTTTCAGCCCATTGGGTGTAGCCTACGTATAGCAAACGCTTCTTTAAACAATAGTATAGACCAATTTTGCGAACTGTCAATAATGTTAATATTAGAAAATATTAAACCTAATTTATTACTTACATTACATGCTACATTTTCATTTTCAAGTATACCTTGTGAACCTAAAACGTATTGGAATGCCTCACAATTTTGTATATAATCATTTATAACACTATCAGATCGTGAAGAATGTTCTAGTTATTAGCATCTGTCTTACCAATATAATCACTATTACAACCTGGACATTTAAAATGATAAACAACAGAGCTCCTATATTCCTTAGGGGTTTGATCTTTAGTACATTTTTTAATAGCCATAATAAATCATGACAATTATGAACTTTATTAAAGTGCAATGGTGTTTTTGCCTTAGGTTGAGTTTGCCTGTGAGGCCTTAGCCAAGTCTATCTACGAGCGACTCTTCAAATGGATCGTAACCCGCATCAACCGTTCACTGGACCGAACCAAGCGGACAGGTGCCTCCTTCATTGGAATCCTCGATATTGCTGGATTTGAAATCTTCAAGGTAAAGATTTATTTAAAAAAAATTTTATAATAGGGTAAACAACACAAGCAATAACAATACAAAACGCTATTAAAATTTTAAGTGTATAAAAAAAAAAAAAAATTATTAACAGCATCTGCCACAACCTGGGAGATACCAAATAGCCAAAGTTAATAGTGAAGGTTAACATTTTATATTTAATGAATATTTAGTCTTGATGAAGACTATATATTTTGGGAAAGACAGAATGTGAACACCCCTTTATAATAATGGAATCTCCCATTTTTCATCTCTCATTATTATTACTAGAAGTCAACATTCTGAGGAGTAATACTGCTATACCCCCTCCTCCCAAGCCCAGGGTATGGTTTTTGACAAATATTCACAGAAAAATTAACCATACATTGCCTAAAAATTGCCATTTGATTAAAAAGGAGATTCCCCATGTATAACTATAAGTTCACCCCAAGGGTTGGTTCAATTTTGTTTTCAAGTGATGGGCTTATACTAGAGAGACTATGGCATTTAAACACCTTATATATTTGCCGGACAGTGGTAGTTTTTAAATGGTGTTCTCTATGTTGATATAATATGCTATTCAGTACAGATATGATTTATAGCTTGATAGCTTAGTTTGCAAAACCTTGAATGAAATTGCGTCATTCAGTGGTATTAGAGGGAACTTAAACAACAATATATTATTCTAATATATATATATATTATTATTAGTAAAAGAGAAGTTTTATCTTAATTTTCACTTTCACATATAGTGTAGTCATAATTTAAACTATTAGTGAAATACTTTTGTTATGTAAATTACATATCTCTTTACATCTTCATATCTCTTTACATCTTCATACTGTTTTTATTTTCATTCTTTTTCCTTTGACGTTTTTCCCTCCTTTCTGTAATCATTCAGTCTCCTTTTAAATCGTTCATTCCATCCAGGAAAATCCACTGAATCGTCTATACACAGACATGGAATTTTCATCACTGGTAATTTCATACAGGTGCAGAATTACTAACACTCTCTACTAACCCTCCTACTCATGTTAATGCATCTAAGTCTTACTCATACCTTGACCATTTCTTTCCTTTGATCCTTTAAACCCTTGCCAAAGATTATTGGATTATGGCTGATAATAGGCCCTCTAGAAAGATTATTAAACTTCTCTTAAATTTATTATTTATATTGTTATTACTTATTACTGGATAATTATTTCTTATTACTATAAATATTATGCTAGCTATTTTTCAGTAGTAATAGAAAAGTTAACTTTCATTTATTATTATTATTATTATTATTATTATTATTGTTGTTGTTATTTATATTATTTATTCTTATTATTTATTCTTATTTATCTTTTATTTATTATTTGTAATTTATTTATTATTACTATTATTAATATTATTATATATTATTATTTGTTATTATTGTTATTACTATTATTATTGTTATACTAATAATATTAAAACATAATTAGATTTAATGACAAAATAGTCTTAACAAACCAAAAAAAAAACACATACAAACCAAAACACAATACAACATATTTAAGTTAATTTGTTAGCATTATTTTTTCCTTTGTATATTAAAAGAAGTTTTATGCAGTGCTGTAACCTACTATTACTGTCAATGTTGATGTTTCAATTGATAAAGGTGTTTATGTTTGAAAATAAAAGCATGGGGTAAGGATTAAATGAAGTGTTAACATACTTGGCCATCTGTCAAATGATGGCAGTCTTTAATGGCTGCCCGATTGTTGTCGTTAGTTCTTTTTTTAGCAGAATTGTTTTCAATTTTATTTTGGTTTTTATTTTTTTTTTATGCATGCAACATAAGATTGATTGAATAATTATAAGATTAAATTTATGGTGTTGGTGTAGATATGCAGTGACTTTACAGTGATGACATGAAATGAATATGAGTGTTAGATTAGGTTATAACCAATTATATAAATTTAATGAATTATTGTAATAATATTAAAATGTATTTATAATAAAATGAATAATGACATTTAATGAGTGGGAGGGTAAGACTGGGTTAACCAATATAGTTATTTATATAAATTTAATTAATATTAACATTAACATATAGTGTAAACATATCCAGTTACATATTCTTCCAAGCTGCGACTGATTGAATTAGAAAGTTTAAATTCCCCAACTACAATTAGATATTTATAAATATAACAATTGATTATTTCCCTTCAATTTAAGAAACAAAAAGAATCTTTAATCTCATGAAATTTAAAATAAAACATAACGCCTTTCCCAGACTATTAAATTTTATTTGAAAAAAACATGCCAGATGCCTAAATATGGCCATGATGACATCGCATCATGACCATATATAGGCACATCATGACTATATATGGGCATACAGTAGTTTTTTGTCAAAGAAAATTTAATAATTGATATTCTAAGGGTCATACTTAACTTTACTTGAGGCAGAGTCATTAAGTGTCGATATTAAATTTCTTTTTATTGAAATTTGATTTGATTTAAAAACAAATATTATAGTTTCAACACTGTGTTAATATTATTGATACATATTCTCATTTTTTACCCTGTAGATGAATTCGTTTGAGCAACTTTGCATCAACTACACCAACGAGAAACTACAACAGCTGTTCAACCACACTATGTTCATCTTGGAGCAGGTTTGTCATAATCCCATTGCTGATCTTATCATTTAAAGTGAACTCAAAATAACTATCCCCCCCCCCCCCCAATTGGCATGGGGTTTAAGGGTGGTCGTCTTATACCAGGGACCATAAAATGCAAATCAGAATGGGCCTGCAGTCAGAATAATATATATTGGGCTTCACATATTAGCCTACTCTTAAGGGGTCTATGTAGGCCTGATATACAACTGTATTGATAGCTTATTATCAAAGGTAACTGTCGAAGACTTGCTCTGGGCTCTTTCGTGTTGCATACACATAATATGTGTGCATTGATAAGGCTTCATCTACACTTTCAAATTATATGCGACAAATTTGTGTTATGTGCCCATATATAGGTATGATGATGTCAAACTACACCCAAATAGGGGCATATCACATTGTTTTGTCACATAAAATTTGTTTATATTGCATAAACTTTTACATGTGTTTCATTCCTTTTTTTTAGGAAGAGTACCAGAAGGAAGGCATTGATTGGAATTTCATTGACTTTGGACTTGACCTTCAACCTTGCATTGACCTCATCGAGAAGGTATGTTTCCTGTTTATCTGATTATTAATTACTGACTTCAATTTGTGTCAATGTAATGTTATTACGCTTGGTGATTGGATGATGGTGGTAGTAATAATATTTAGCATTAATTTATAAAGTGCAGTTTTCCATTATCATTAGAGCTTGAATAATGAGGATGATGATTGATAATAGTGGATGATAGATAGATAATTGATTTTGATAATCAAAAGGAGTATTAAACGAAAGACAATTACAATAAAGATGGTTTTTATTAGCGGTTGAATTTTGGCATGAGGTCTAGGGACATGGTTAAGGGTCTTGATGAAGTGAAGGGAAAAAAATCTGGGCTAAAAAATTGTAGTGCGAAGTCCCTGAGAGATTAGCTGAATTTCCTCTCTTACTTTTCACACTTGTCAGGTCCAGATGTTGTTGAAATGTCTTAGTGCTGGATAGGCCTACTCCTACCATTGCCAACTAACATAACTATAGCCTGAGACAACTATACATATATATTAGAACGTTTGACTAATTTGTTAATTAATTGATGATGATTGATTTGGTAATGTAGGTAATAATAATGATAAATATACAGTGATTATAATATATATTTTTCTTTTATGTTTGATTGACAGCAAGGAGGCATCTTGTCACTTCTTGATGATGAATGCTGGTTTCCCAAAGCAACAGACAAGACATTTGTAGACAAGGTTGTCAAGGAGAAGGAGGGACATCCCAAGTTCCAAAAAGCCGATTTCAGGGACAACGCAGACTTCTGTATCATGCATTATGCAGGAAAGGTACGTGGTAAAAAAAAAAAAATTATTGTTATAATTTAAGGAACAACCAAACTAAGACCTGCACAGTTGAGTTGGCTATGCCGGTGGTGGTGATGAATGGATGGATTTACTCGGTGTAAACACCAACGATAACCCACAAAAGTCTGAAGAAGACTTATTTTTAGTGGGGTTTATCCAGTGGTGATTGGGCTCTACATTAGGAAACATCCGCTAATCTAAATCCGCTAATCCAAAGATTGTACTGCGTTCTTTAACGTGCATATGTGCCAATGACCTAAAAGTCTCATCCGAAAGACGGTGCGCCTTCGTAACTTGCATTTCAGCCTTCCAGCTGAAACACAAGGAGAGCATGATAGGAATTGAACCGGGGACCAAGAGATATCCACGGTTCAGCGCACACGCGGTGGCTACCGGTGGTAACCAAAGTGTGTGTGCCGAACACTTGAAAGCGACATAAGCATATTAGGCTACACGGGTACTGAACACATCGAGATGATACCAGTGCCAGTTCAGTGATGATAATATTCATAATAATGAATGCTTGTGAAATAATTGTTTGTGCATTGATTGAAATATTATTTTAATAATGATAATTACAAAAAATAATGGTAATTATTTCAAAGATGATTAAAAAAATGTATACTAATACTAATAATTATTAAAACAATATTAATAACTGTTGCAACTCTTTCAGGTTAATTACAGTGGCACAGGATGGCGTGTAAAGAACATGGATCCCATAAACGATAATGTCGTCAACATGCTTCAAAATTCCAACAACGAATTCATCAGCAAGATCTGGCAGGATGGTAAGAAAACAAACAAACAAATATGTACATACAGTAAATGCTCGAATAAGCGTCACAGCGTTTATAGCAATATTGGCGTGGCGCATCCATGCCTGGTCCCATGTTACCCATCTCATATCCCCATAGTTAGGTAAACCTACTATAGGTCCTGTCATCGTAAATAAATGTTTATAAAGAAATGTGTTATTTATTCATTTTAACATTGTATGCATTGTATTCAAAAAACCATTTCTCGAAAGTGTTCCATTACACACAGTGTAATAATATACTCCCGATTAAGTGCTGTCGCACTTAGCGAAAAGAATCAGGTTTGTTTAAAACTTAAAACTTGTATGTAAGCATGGCGTGCAGGACAGCCAAAATATGGTGTACGGGACATCTCTGAGTAGCATATTATGTATATGGTCAATTCCACAGAAACAGGGACATCGTGACTACAATTTTATATTTGTTCTACATGTTATTTATGGTATTTTCCATTTTCCTGACTATCTCTGGTATACAAAATACTTTACAGAATTTAAAGAGTTCTCCGGAGACCGTGAAGCCTTAATTAAATAGTTCACAAAAGCTATCTCCTAATCGTTGGCACTCACATGTTCCCAGAGCCTGTGGTTGCTGAGTAAACACATCTCATGATATTAAGACAAAGTAAAATACTATGTAATTTTTCTTATGTTAACATAAATAGCATAAAAAAGGATTTGAAGCATAGAGCAAAGCATGTAAAACTTGTTAATTTCACACGCTGTAACACCCGTAACAGAAATGTAACACCCATAACAGTCACATTTGCACCTTCCTCACCTGTAAATGTCACATTTTTTTCCCAAGGTGTTTGCTATGATATGTAAGATTATTCAAAATACTTCAATAAAATATAAAAGAAATTTAGTGAATCCTAAACACTTCAGACTTTTTATATTAAAATTGTTTTTTTGTTGTTTTTGTGCGTAACCCCCGTGACCACTCTTTCAGATTCCGGTGGCGTTCCAAAATTTTTTTTTTTTACATTTATAAAACAGTATTAGCATTATGGTTTGCTGTTAATATAGAAAAGGTTTGATACTTGTTTGAACTGTATTATTCATTTATAATCTCTAAAAACTGTCCGAATGTAGCACCCGTAACCATGGAATCGACCATATACAAATAATCAATTTTACTAACTATATAGGATTTCTTCATTTGTTTTAGACTACTCTGGTTTTAAATTATGTACAGGTAATGTATCTGGATATGGTGAGGTTTTTGGTTAAAACATTTTTTTCCCCCATAGTAAATATAGATTTTGAGATTTTGAGTAAGTGAAATACAGACGTCTCCCTGATGTACATTGAATTGGACTTTAATATTAATTTAAAAAACATTTACTTAGATACTAGTAATCAGGGTAGTCATAGTATTAATTCCAATTCCAATTTAAATAAATTATTTTATAGCAGATAAATGTGTTTAATGCGTTAAAATTTGCTATAGCATTTATTAATAGACTAAAAACACAGGATGTAAAGTTAAAAGTGTTTATCTTTTAAATATTGGTTTTAATGCTAACTTTTAAACTTCTATGTGGCGTACGGGACGCAACGAAAAATCACCATCTGAAAAACGTAATTTACACAGCAGTAAATAAAGTCACATGATCAGGACTGAACGATGGCTTACATAATATCCCAACATGTTGACTGATAACATTAACAACTGTGTACAATCAATCTATTGATGAATAAATAGGAAAATGAATAATAGTTTTGGATATAGTAAAAGGCAAGAAAATCATCATATTTGTATAAAATGGCTAAAAAGTATAACATTTCAAATCATTTTCATGAAAAACTTGATTTTTTTGTATACTAGAGTTGTTTGGTTATGCAATTCACCCAAAAGCAGATGTTTTTGATCATTATTTGATTTGGCCACTTTTTGACTTGCGGCATGTTGTGGCAAAATGGCTAAGTTGTAGCAAAAATTGAAATTCAAGTTATTGGTATTTTCAGATACCAGTGCATGTGATCTTTAAAATGAGGGGGGGTCATTCATTGAAATTGAACATTTCAGGCCTTAGTTATTGGAAAGTGAAAGTACAGATTTTGAGTAATTGCCTTCTAAAGTTATTTGTGCATACACTGTTTAATAGAATTAACTATCAAAATAACGTTAAATAAACAATTAGTTGTCCACTTCCAGACATTAAACTGTTGATCTATAATGAAAAACAAATTAGGATTTTTAGGCAAGTTTTTGAGCTCCTATATATTAAAGCTCATTTACTCAATACTGGCCTGTGCAAAATCTGAAGCATTTCGCCACGACATGCCTCATTTGTGGTAATGCATAAAAATGATAAATGTAGAAAAATTGTGACATCTATGATATTTCTGTAGTTCAGCATGGCTAGTATTTAAGCCACATTTTCAAAGGCCAGTATGCTCGTCATAATCAATATACCATATATTTTTTTGAGCCACAGCTTAACACTCTGACCGCCAGGGGTTTGAAAAAAATAGTATCAGCCACCGCCAGACTTTTTAGATAATTTTAACACTCTTCCAAGGCTTGTTGAGAGTGCGTATGTGACCAGATTGACATGTATTGAATACTACAAGAACTACAAACATCTTAGCTTTACAGTGGTACCAAACACTTTATTCTAATTATAATCTGTGACCCGTAACAGTAAATTGAACGTGACTTACTTTCGGAGGTTTATGCAATTTCGCAACGAAGCTAAGATAATCGTGATTTTGTGAAAGTACATCATATACTGCTACGTTTAATGTAAACAAACAAATAGTGAAATACGTACGGTCCAGACTGAATATAGTGTTCAAATTGTTAATACTTGTTGGTAATTACCCCATCTATCGGAACCATGGAGTTTGGCGGTCAAGAGTTGCATTACCAAACACGGAGATATCCGTGTTTGGCTGGCAGAGTGTTAATGAATGATTACTTATATGTACATATAAAATGCGTAAGCTTGGTATAGATAGACAAATACCCTGTTGTCAGCAATAGTTGAAAATGCTGAATATATATATATACAGTATTATATATGTGGCAGAGACAAGCCAAACCAGTCACTCGTCGCAAAATTCGATTTTGAGTTATTAATACAGTGTTAGAGAGTAAAATAATAGCTATAAAATGGTAAAAAAAATTCATTTAAATCGGACATTTCCTTATGAAGTTACAAGCGTTTAACCACACAGCTGTTTAAAGAACAATATATGAGAAATCGGCCTTCAAAGTTTGATTTCAGGCATTTCTCATGCAGAAACTATCTTTAAATTCTTAAAAAGTGTTGTTTTAACATTCAAAATGGGGAAAATAACAGCATAGAATGATGTGTATTTTAGTACAATAAAATAGATTTTTAAAAATTTGACATTCCAGCATGTTTTGACCATTTTCTCTGAAACACGATTTGCGACGAGTGACTGGTTTGGCTTGTCTTTGCCACATATATATTGTGCAAATTGGCATTTGAATTTACGACTCAAAGATTTATTAGCATTAGGAAGCTTTCGATAAAGTCATTGCGCTTGCAAGAACATACGTTAAGATCTCCTCATCACATGGATTCTAAGACGCAATTTGGCTAAATCCTTGTATAGACGTGGGACGCCTGGTAGGACGGTCATGCATAAGTGATTCCGTTCGAGTGTCGCATCGTCAAACAAATCGAAAGCTCCCTACTGATCAGTTGCTGTTAGTTTTCATTTTCACTCACCCTCACATTACCCTGTAGAACTCTGCATAGACTATCAGATATTATTTGACAAAAACATATGACATGTCAAAATATGTGCATGATGGCATCACATCATGAATATATGGCCATAACAACAGTTTTTGGTCCAGGAGAATTTGATAATCTGGACTTCATTGGCCTCATAGCTCAGTTGTTAGGTCGTCTAAGAGTTTCCTATTAGAATCTATTAGTTTGCGACAATGCCATTTCGCAAGTAGCTATGATGTAACCACTGAATTGCACCAATCAAATCCACTCACACACTTCACGTTCTTTCCCGCAGCTGTCATCGTCAGCATGAGTGCCATGACAGGCGGTAAGAGCGAGAACGTGTTTGGACGCTCAGCACGCAAGGGAATGTTTAGCACTGTTAGTCAATTGTATAAGGAACAGTTGAACAAACTGATGATCACACTACGAAACACCAATCCCAACTTTGTCCGTTGTATCATTCCAAATCATGAGAAGAAGGTGAATACTAAGTTTTTAACTTTCAAGTTTTATTTGGATTTCATAATTAATGTAACTTCAATGAAATTATAATTGGTATGATTTATAATTTATGATTAAAAATTTAATTTTTTTGTAAAATTAAGGTTATAACATGTTGACTGCCAGACCTGTTTTGAAGGTTCCTTCCCATGTGCCTAAACAAGTTTACATGTACAAACATACATTTTTGAAATTTTATCTAGTCATAATGATGTGTCTAATAAATTGGTAGGAAAATTAGGGGACGACTAAACTCGTCGGCGGCACTGCGACAGCATTTTTATTCACTCTGAGTTTTCTGGTCCGCTTTACATACATACGTCATATGTCAATATCCTGTGGGACAAGTACTGGCAGCCAAGGTGTTAATGATGTTCACTTGATTAATGATGATAAATTAATTTTTTTTTAATTATTAAATTCAATAAATAAATACTATTTTCAAATGGAACAGAAAATTTTTCTTCAAATTTTAACAATAATAATTAACAAAATAATAACAATAGTTATAATGTAATGTAATGGTCACACATTTGGTATTGCATCTGTTCAGTAGGATATAATTACACCAGTATACTGTACTACAAGGTATTTATGATAATTGAGGGCTCTTTTGTGCTTTGCATTAAAAAAATGGTGTTAGCAGTCATGATAAATTAAATTTAACTTCAGTTGAATAAATTATTAACAATTTAATAACTACTTACAGGCCCAGAAGATCACATCGCCACTGGTGTTGGAACAACTGCGGTGTAATGGTGTGCTCGAGGGAATCCGTATCTGCCGTCAAGGTTTCCCAAACAGAGTTATATTCCAGGAATTCAGACAGAGGTAATTATGTAAACATTTTCAACCATTTTTGTTTTCAGGATCGAACCAGTGAACTATGGTTTGAAGAGAAGCTGCTTAAAAAAACAATTCGTAATTTTCATTGAATGCACAAACATCCAATCAGAATGAGTTTGAGACTGATGTAACAATAGCCACTGCCTTTTTTTGACAGTGGCAAAAATAATACCGCTGAGTGGTTGGCTCAGAGGTATTGTTCCTGCTTCTTGTGATGAACACTCCGGTTCAAACCTGTCATAGTCTGATTGCTTGGCTCCTCGAATAACCCTCATATTAAGAGTTAGGCGGATTAAAGGACAATGTTCGTATCCATGTGCGTCTGTTATATGCTGTAGTTAAAGTCATGTGACGCTGGACTGCTGCTGCCACAGGTTCCCAGCCACCTAGCCCAATAAGGAATTTTTATTTTAAGTATGCAAATAGTCTTCTAATTTATATTTTGCCTCTTGTTGGTTTTTACAGGTATGAAATTCTAACACCACACATTATCCCGAAAGGCTTCATGGACGGTAAAAAGGCAGTCCAGAAAATGGTGAGGTTGTTTTTAACCATTTTTAATCAATTCTACTATAATATGTACTTGTATTTGTTATTCATTTTGTGCGTTTTCTGTTCTCTGTTTATTTAAACGAAATTGTTCTTGAATTGTAGATTGAGGTCCTTGAGCTCGATAAAAACTTGTACCGTCTCGGTCAGAGCAAAATCTTCCTTCGTGCTGGTGTGTTGGCTCATCTAGAAGAGGAACGAGATCTGAAACTCACCGACATAATCACGCGCTTCCAAGCTGCTTGTAGAGGGGTGCTTGCTCGCAGGTAATAAATACCACCCTCACCCATCATTATGTTTTTAGACATCCCTAAGCCTTTGTCCACACTATAAAATTTTATGTGACAAATAAATGTGGTACGCCCGTATTTGGGTGTAATATGACATCAGCATGCCTATATATAGGCACATCAGATTTAAACTGTAAACTGTAGAGTTAAGTTTTCAATTGTTTTTTAAATGTTCCTAAAGTATCACATTCTCAATACTCAATCAATTCAATACTCAATAGATTTATTTGTCATATTATATACATGTACATTACACATACAATGAAATTCTTTGATATTAATTGGCAATTGTTCCAAATGCGAGGAGTATTTTAGAGTTTTGATTATACTATTTATGTGGCATATAAAATTTTATAGTGTGGCGTTTAAGTTTAATTGTCTTGAAACATAAGCAATTATCATATAAGATCAGTTGTGTGCAAGAGTTATGTTCTTTCCATTGCACAAATAGAAACATTCATTATTTGTTTTATAACATTCCTATAATAGATCTTTGTCATTTTGATATTGTATTAAAAAAAAATCTACCCTTTTTCAAAATAAATGGAACAGTCCAGCATCTTTTTAACCAATCAAAAGTTTGTATTAGGTTGCCTAGGATATGACTTGAATAAGTAGCTTAGCTGACTTTTTACAAATGCTCTAAAAAAAAAAAAAAAAAAAAAAAAAAAATCAAATATTGGATTTGAATTAGGCATGCGGTGCTGAATAAGTTGCCTTTTGATTGATAAAGGAATTCCCCAGGTATAGGCTCCCCTATCCCCCTTCCTTATACCAGAGGTATAAGAAATGTATTGTTTGAGTGAATCTATAATGATCTTTAATTTCAGGAACTACATGAAGCGACTGCAGCAACTGAGTGCCATCAGAATTATTCAACGTAACTGCCTGGCTTACCTGAAACTGAGAAACTGGCAGTGGTGGCGATTGTTCACTAAAGTACGCACTTAATCTTTTATTATTACTGTATTAGTGGAGTTGAATAGCTTGGTGGTTAAGATGCTCACCTTCCAATCCCAGGGTCCTGGGTTCAAATCCTGTTTGATTCCAGGACTCTACTCCACAAGCCTAGCTATGAGACTTAGTTTAAGTAGAGCACCATGTATATATGTTTGCCATGTGAAGGAATTGCCACCTATCTAATAGGGCAGTGATTAAGTCACTATTGGTAATCCTTGGCCATGTATCTGAGGGAATAAAATAAAAAAAATAAAAGAAAATTAATCCACATTGCAGTTTAAATTAGTTTTTTGCTATATTAATACAATTTTATTTAATTCTAGGTTTATAATATTTACAATTGCACAAGACTAAACTTTAAATATACATATAATTTGTATGTAATTATATTTGATTACTTCATTATTATTATTTTTATTTTCAATTTAACAAATAAAATAAAAATTCACTCATAAAAGCCAAGAAAAAAACAATCATAATTTCTGCAAAGGGTATTTTTAAAATGAATAAATATATTTTTAAAAATAAAAAAATTAATATATAAAAAAAACCAACCAAAAACCAGATCAGTTGATATAGGGGTTACAAATTTCAGATACAGATCATTTTTATATTCAGCTGACAATCTTTGGAACTCCCACCCTAAACATATTGCTGACTCACCTTCAGTTGCTATTTTTTAAGACCGAACTCAAAACATAAACTTTTTAACATCTAAACATGCATAGCGCCTTGATTTTTACTTCGGTTTAGTGATGTTGGCGCTTTATTAAATTATTATTAATTTATTAAATACTGAACATGTTTTATCCTTTATTTTTCAGGTGAAGCCGCTGTTGAACGTAACACGACAAGAAGACGATATGCGTACAAAAGAAGAACAGCTTAAGAAAGTTGTGGACAAACTGGAGGTGATCGAGACAGATTATGTTGAGATGAAACAGAAGTATTCGCAAGTTATGGAAGAGAAGAACATTCTCGCTGAGCAGCTAGCAGCCGAGGCCGAACTCAGCCAGGAAGCTGAAGAGGTATGTTTATTTGCAATTAATTAATTATCAGACCTGCCAAGTCTCGCGCCTACAGCGTGAGAATCATGCCTCAGCGCCTCTTCTCACACCCACCCTCTCAACAATCATTTTCTCACGCCGGTCGTCGATGGGGGCCAAAAAAAAAAAAAAAAAAAAAAATACAGGGAGCTATCTCATTAGAAAATCAATAATCAGGATTATATAAAGTGGCAAGCTTGTTATTTGTAATACCTCATTCTAATGGCCAAGAGGAGTGAATCTTTTCAGTGGTTTGGAAAAATGAAACTGCCTTTCGCCCAAATTTAGATCCAAGGGGAACCTTGTCAAGTATTTTTCTATTGTGGGAGGGGGCCCATCCCCAGCTAATTAGCAAACTTGGCATCTCTGAATTATTTTAATTAACTAATTATTTTATTTAATAATTATTGGTTTCTATGCTGTAAAGCAATATAAATCTTTGCAATCGCCCATGCATGCATGTGCGTTAGTGCGTCTGTGACGTTGACATAATCAAATTTGTTGAAAGTTTGTAAACAAGCAAGCCTGAATTTCCAAACCCTGTTGTCTAAAAAAGTAGAAACATTCAAAGATAAAACAATTAAAAAGATAAACATTTTAAAAGTTATTAAAGTTAAAAATTTGAAAGGTTTAAATATAACAATAAAAAATGTGAACATTTAAAAATTAGATTTACATTATTACAAATAAAGTATTATATTTTACCAAAATGACTGCAAAGATACATTGTCCCTCCCAGGGGTCTGGTTATAAATAGGAAAGGGGAGGTAATTTTTACTGTTCTAAAATCATTAAATTCTAATCATTTATTACATGGTTTCCTAGATTTAATTATTACATTTCAACTTTCTTTCTGTGTATTTCAATGTATCTAAAACTGTTTTCCAGATGCGACAGCAACTTGCTGCAAAGAAACAACAACTAGAGGACGTACTACATGACTTGGAAGCTCGGGTCGAAGAAGAGGAAGACCGCGGCATGAGATTGGAAGAAGAAAAGAAGAAATTGTTGGTGAATATAGGAGACTTGGAGGAACAGTAAGTCATCATTTGAGACAAGTAGGGGGGTTACCCCGGTGTACTGGCCCGTGCTGCCCCTGTTACCATCCGCTTACGGACCATTAGGTCCTTTGCAGGATGTACCTACGTAAAAGTGAACATCGGAGGAACAACACAAGTAATAAGAATAATAATATAGAAATTTATATAGCGCCTTTTACCAAAGGATACAAGGTGCTTAGATGGTTCTTGCCCACATCCTGACCCAGTACTTTTCCAGGCAGTGACATATGTAGGGGGTATCAACATGGAAGGCCTGATTTAGTGAGGGTGTTGGGGTGGTCTGTGTGAATTTATGAGTGTGGGTGGCCTTGATTACGTTAGAGGTCATTAGCTGACACTTATATAATATTTAGTTAATTTTTTATTACTTGAATGTAATTGCTCAGTGGGTTGGTAGATTCTTTCTGTCACTAATTATTATGTGTTGATGTATTTTCATGTGCACACTCTTATAATTGAAAAAAATATTAATACTATTATTATTATTATGGTGTAGTAATTGTCATTGTTGTTCTTTGCTAGACTTGAAGAAGAGGAAGCCTCTCGCCAAAAACTTCAACTTGAAAAAGTTTCTGCTGATGCCAAAATCAAGAAGCTAGAAGAAGACTTAGCAATGATTGATGACACATATGCTAAGGTACAATCTGATTTTCCATGTGGTCATGAATGGCTGGACACTCTTTTTTTCGACCCAAACAAAACAGAGCTTTATTTGATCCCCTTACATTGAAATTACATTGCTCTAATTACAAGAATAAGGGTGGCGATATGTGTTACTAGGCAACCGGTACCCGCAGTCTACCACTTTCTTAAATAATGCTTTTGTTGAGCACAGGATAGAGGGGATGACTTAACGTCATTCAACACCTCCTCAAACTTAATTGTCAGTCATTGTAGTAGACTGAATGTACCCGCCGCAAAAACAAACCGATCATCCTCTCAGATTTGCCGGTAGCCCCCTAAAATATTACCACCCCAGCATAAGAGCGTGACTGAGTGTGGATCGTGTTTGTGTTTGTGCGCATATTCCGTGCGTCCCAACCTGTCGAATAGAAAGTTCTCATTTGTTAGTTGTTAATGGGGAAAGGCTCATTATTTTTTAAACTGCTGTATGTTAGCTTTGTTCAATTATTTGTTATTATCCCTACTATTTGTTTGTTTTTTATTTGGTTTCAACATCACAAAAGTATAATATAGATATAAAATCAGAATAAAACATAGAATTACCACTCCATTATTTCTTTTGTTTTCATGAATTTATTAAAATTAAAATTTAATACAAATAAAAATCCTTTTTTTAATAATTAGCTTGTAAAAGAAAAGAAATCTATGGACGAACGTATGGGTGACCTCTCAATGACCTTAGCAGAGGAAGAAGAAAAGAACAAAGGTCTAGGAAAACTGAAGACAAAATACGAGTCAATGATCAGTGAAGTGGAACAGAAGCTTCGGCAGGAAGAAAAGGTAATTTTTTTGCAGATCTGTAGGTGATAAAATGTGCCGACTTTGATCGAAACTGACTGAAACTCTACACTCCACACTATCAAGTTTTATGAGCCAAATGTTTTTTGGATTTGCCTATATAAGGGCATGATGATGTCTTATATCCATATGTGGGCGTGATAATGTCATATGATACCCATGATAATATAGACTTTTGCTATAATAAAATTTGATTTTACAGCCGGTTAAACTGGTGTAGCCGCTGTGTGTGCGCTGAACCGTAGTAATCAATATGTCCCCAGTTATATTACCATCACCGCTCTACTTTTGTTTCAGCTGGAGGGCTGAAATGCCAGTTACGATAGCGCACCGTCTTTCGGATGAGATGTTTAAGACATTGCTCCTGTGTGCATTATGGCCCATAAAGAATGTACACTCTTCGGAAAAGAGTATGGGATTGTCTCCCAGTGTACTGTCCAATCGCTACCAAAAGGACCCCACTCAAAATAAGTCTTCTTCAGACTTTCGTGGGTTATCTGTGGCGTTTACACCAAATAAATCCATCCAAATACCCATTTAGTTGGTCTGTTTTAAAATTTGCTATACTTTCTAGAAAGGTTCTTTCCATATTAATTGGTGAAAACAATTCCATTTTAGGCCTCTTTTAAGTATTATTTAATATTCCTAATCTTCTAGAGTTTTTAAGGTTGTATTGGTATTATTTTTTTTTTGTTCTGTTTTTAGGGTCGCCAAGATGTAGAACGAAGCAAGCGAAAGTTGGATGCTGAATCTAGTGACCTTCGGGACCAAATTGCTGAACTGCAGCAACAGATTGATGAACTTCGTGCTCAGCTCGCCAAACGTGAAGAAGAACTGAACATAGCATTGGCCAAGTAAGTATTGCGACCGTACATTACCGTAAATTGCATTACGCAAGTTTAATTGCTTAGTACTACTTTAGCATTATATGCAGAGTTTTCAGTTAGTGAATTATATTTATATTAATTTTATAATAATAATACCAAAATATTTATCTATCATCAGTTTCAAAGAATGATCAATGGCGGAGAGCGTTATTACACCTGGTCACTTGATAACATACAATGGAAAACCAGCACTTTCTCTGCTGTCTGGGGAGTATACCTAGTTGCTTGCTACTTGTTTTGCGCACAAATCTAGTACATTCAATGCCACAACATCCTACGCATTCTATCCAGACGTAAAGATTGAGAATCGGGAGGGCGCTTGTTGCCATGTACGTCTGGGTAGTCAATGGTGACTTGTACATTCTGGTGAATGCTATTGCTGATAGCCTGCACCAGGTTTCTTTCCATCTCCTGCCCTTGGTTTTTCCTCATTACTCTTCAAGATGACACTTATCATCTGAGCAACAACATGAAAACACTGTCAAATTTTTTTTCTTTGTGTTTTAAGTTTTACACTTTTTAAATTCCTTCAATCAGAATTGATGAGGAAATTTCTCTGAAAAATGCCGCACTGAAAGAGAACCGTGATCTGCGCTCGCAAGTAAAGGAAATACAGGAGGATCTTGAGGCAGAGAAAGAACAACGCACCAAAGTGGACAAACAGAAGAAAGATCTTGGTGAGGTATGTGCTTAAGAGTTTTTTCTATATTCACTGGTAAACTCGTTCTAGTAACTAATTTGCCTTTTTTTGTCTCACCTTGAAACAAAATTTCTCTCTAGGCTTTGTACAGTTTCGATTCATTGAAATCAGCCTATTTTTACTTGTTAGAGCACTGTTATTGTAACAGACTTACAATGAATAAGCTAACTCACTGTCAATAAATTGTCTTTGGATTCCCACAAAGTTTACGACTTTTGGGGCAGAATAAAGAATGTCATGTTCCATAGCAAATTGTTCACAAATATTTACCAGTTTTTTGAGATCTGATGCCAACGGTGATATATATATCTTTATAGGAATTGGAGGCCTTGAAGTCCGAGCTTCTGGATTCGCAGGACACCACTGCCGCCCAGCAGGACCTCCAGAACAAGAGGGAGAATGAACTAACGCACCTGCGCAAACAAATTGAGGATGAGACTGCCAAACATAACCAGCAGGTCAGCGAAATGCGACAGAAGCACCACCACGCTACAGAAGAGCTCAACGAACAACTTGATGCTCTCAAGAAGGTACACTAAAATAATGAGATGTTAATTTATTCAGTTTTATAATAACATTAAGAATTGCTACTTTAACAGCATAAACATCAATTGTGTATATATGTTTATGATAAATAAGGATGAACTTAACAAACAGGGGGAGGCCCACAGGCAACTACTTATGTATTTAAATCAAAATGGTAATTAAAATGCCAATTTATGCAAATTCATTTTGCTGCTAACTGAATATGTAAGGAAAGACCTTAACTAACACTGATCCAAAAACAAGTAGACATGTATTTAAACATATATAGTATAATGAGATGCTAATTTATGGATATTATTTTTTAACCATTAAGTTGTTTCTTTGGCCACTCTAGACAAAGAAGATCTTAACTAACACTGATCCAAAAACAAGTAGACATGTATTTAAACATATACAGTATAATGAGATGCTAATTTATGGATATTATTTTTTAACCACTCTAGACAAAGACCAGTCTGGAAAAGAATAAGAATGCCTTGGATAATGCTCACCACGAAACACAGAATGAGCTGAAGGCATCGATTCAAGCCAAACAGGAATCGGAAAGAAAGCGCAAGAATCTCGAAGCACAACTTTCCGAGCTCAACGTACGCTTGTCGGAGATGGAGCGAAGCAAAAATGAGTTCCAAGAAAAGTCGGCCAAGCTGCAGGTATGTTTACTTTTCAAGAAATGTACATTTTTTTTCTTGATTTCAGATTTATTTATTAGTTTTGCACCTAAAGGTTAGGCCACACTAACAAATTATATGTGACAAAATAATGTGATATGCCCATATTTGGGTGTAATTTGCATCATCATGCCCATATATAGTCACATCTCAATATAAACTTGGGTATATGATCAATTTAATGAAAGAAACACAGACAGGTCACAGGCACAGAAGGGATTCCCAAAAGTTGTCTCCATAAATTCTGCTTCTTCTGTGGAAACTTGTCAAGGCCTTTGTGTGCGACTATTTACAATGAAGATATGGCTCATCTACAGGGCCTCAATGGTTCCCTTCAATTTAATTACTCAAAAAATTTTTTTTTGAAGCATTGCATATACTCTGAAACTAATCAGAGTACCCTTGGGTTCATATAATCCAGGCCCCAAAACCTAGATTCAGAAATGCTGGGATGGTGTTCGGTTGGGGATAGTTTCTTACCCTAAATATTTATTTAAGTGATTTGTAAATCTTGACACCTGGAACTTTGAATCAGAAATATCAGGTTGATGTCCTGGCAGGGAATAATTTTCCACCATAATTTAAGACTTAAAATAAAGCTCCTAGATGGGTCTGTGATCAATAAAGTGCTTTATAAATTTGGTTTTATTATTATACCATAAATAATTTTGGTATTTCATTTATCCATGCCTTTAGTTGTATTAATTAGTATGAAGTACATCGTAATAACGTATATTTTCAATTTATCATCGTTGCTTACCATAGGCTGAAGTGGAGAACACAGTTACTGCTCTTGAGGAGAGCGAGACCAAAGCATCACATGCAAGCAAGTCATCCAGCTCACTAGTTGCCCAACTCGCTGAGACTCAGGTTTGTAGCGTTCTTTTTCTAAGAAGTATAAATTACATATATATATAATGACATTTTGCAATTATAAGCCTAACTATTTCAGTTAGTGCACAGATGGCATTTGCGTCAGGCATTTTAATAGGAATGATGTTTCGCCCTGCCTGATATTTTATCATACTGATTGCTTAGCACGTTCCCAAGTGCTTGCGAAAAAAAATATATCTTGCAAGTGATTTGGGTAGGAATCGAACCCACAACCTCCAGATAACTAGCCTGATGTCTTAACCATTAGAGCACCAAGTGACTAGTGTTGAATCCAATCCCAGCAATAGCAGTGGATATTCCAATGCTATTCCGATGGTGTTTGTGTCAGGAGATTTAATACGACTGATGTTTTGCCATAAATGACGTGTTATACTGATTACTATTTTTGGTTAGACTTACATGAACATTTTCACCTTTGACCTTTTATCAAGATCTGTTATTTATTTTTTTTTCCCAGGAATCTTTGAACGAGGAGACTAGACAGAAACTAGCACTAAACACCAAACTCCGACAAGCCCAGGAGAAGCTTGATCAATTGCAAGACCAGCTAGAGGAAGAAGAGGAAGCTAAGGTCAACGTCCAACGTCAACTTACCACTATCCAAAACCAGGTAAAATCCTCACACCATTCCCTTTATTCAGGTTGGCATGTGTTTAAAGACATTTTGTCAGTTAAAATTTGGAAAAAAAAAAAAAAAAATACTTAAGAAACAATTTAAATGTAGTAACTCCTAATAATATGTTATAAAATTAATGCGTTTTTGCCTGTATATTCATTTTTTATTAGATGTTTATTTATGCATGTTTTGTATAGTCTATTCGTGGTACGTATACTTTCTTTTTAAATCGTTACTATTAATTATGTCATTAATTTCTTCAGTTGGCTGAATCTAAGAAGAAGCAGGCCGATGATGCCTCCTCGCTTGAGAGCTCCGAGGAAGCACGCAAGAAGCATGTTCGTGAGTTGGAAGCACTCCACACCGAGATTGAAGAACTTCAAGCCAGCAACGACAAACTTGAGAAGACAAAGAGAAAGCTTCATGAAGAGGTAAAGATGCTGATGATAATAATGATAATGATAATAATACCATGGTTACTTGGGTATGTCTATTTCGGGTATAAGCTCGCTCCATACATTACGCCTAATTTTAGATACAACCCTTTTCTCAGGCAAAAGCCCAGGGTATGATATGAATGAGTAGCTCAGCAGAATTTTGCAAATTCCTTCTTTTCAAAGGTTGGCTTTGAATTAGCCAAGCACTGTTGAAAAATTGCCTTTTGATTTAAAAGCGCATTCCCCCACTATAAGCCCATCCCCTAAAATCAGCTCAATTTTATGTTAATAAAGGGGCGGTCTTTTACCAAAAGGAACTATGGTAGTTAAAATAGCCACGTTCAGACGAGTCGGTAGTAAGCTTTGAAGTAGTAGTTTACTTGTCTAAAGCCCTGGGTAGAGCCTGTGAAGAAGTTACTTCCGATATTATGAAGACAATTGAAGCAAATTAGTTGAAATGTCAAGACATTCTCAACCAACAACAGTTCTTTTCACAATTATCTACGTGGGGTACCACAAGCATTAATACATATTATTACTTCGCCATGCAAACCTTTAAACAATACTTCAACGTTACTACAGATGATTTATTCCCAGTTTCATTAGTACGTATACTGCTTCTGCGTACACATACGCCTACACTCAGATTAGTGCCATTTAGACGCAATTGCAACCTGTATTTTGACCTCAAATTTTTCCAAAAGATAAATACCTAATATTATGCCCTGGGTAAGCATCGTGTGGACACTTGTCAGCGGTAACGCACAGGTAAAATGTTACGATTGTCATAACTTAACTTCAGACTGAAGGTGGTCTGAACAAAACATGTTATTAACTTTTAAGATGTTGGTGTGGTATTTAGTAACTATCACGTTGCATTGTTTTCTTTTTGACACTAGTTGGATGACATCAACCTGGATTTGGATAAGATGCGCACCAAGGAAATAGAGCTGACGAAACGCCAGAAGAAGTTTGACTCGATGCTTGCTGATGAACGTGCTCAGAAGGACCGCATCCAGCAAGAGAAGGAGCAAGCTGAAAGGGAGGCTCGTGAAAAAGAGACAAAGGTATGAAGCTTAAATTCGACACTTGAATTCCATTTGATTTGATGTATAAACAAACTGTTTAGTGCCCATATATAAACATAGTGTGCCTATATATGGTCATGATGTGATGTCACCATGACCTTATTTAGGCATATCACATGTTCTTTTAGTCTAGTTCTATGGTACTTGCCTTAATAGTAAAAGTTTGCAGACTCGATGCCAGCCGGAGGAATCTTTTCATTTAACTGAAAGGAACGTTTCTTTTATTATTGATTGATTCCTATGTTCAAACAAGCAATTTTTCAGTCATTTTACCATTATATTATTTAATATTCAAAATTGTTCATGTTTTATTCTGTCATGTTCCTGTTTTATTTATATAATATAATAAAATATATTTGAAGTTGCCTCTGTGAACCACTTTGTGAAATTCAGTATAAGAAGTTTCGAGCATTGTAGATGCAAATTCTAGCCATTTTAATTAATTTTTTCTCTGCCAGGTAATGAGTCTAAACCGAGAGTTGGAAGAACTGCAGGATAAGTTGGAGGATGTTGAAAGGAACTACAAGGTGCAACGACAAGAAATTGACGAGTTGATGTCTTCCAAAGACGATGTCGGCAGAAATGTAAGATGAAAATTTACTGTTGAACCCGTGACACCCCACAACACAATATTATGCTAATTTTGGGGTGAGGTTATACACGGAAAATCCATTTTTCACCCAAAAAATAAAAATTGATGCTTTTTTCTAAACTGACAGAAATGATCAGGGATGACTCATCAAATCACTTTGTGCCTAAGAGAGATTTTCGGGGTGTCAATCAAACTTAATAACTGACCAATCAAAACAGGGCCAGGAATATGGGATCTTGGCAACAGTATCCAAGGGGTGGGGCTTAGCAAAGGGTCCATTCAAAGCCAATCTTCCTGGTACTGCAATTAATTTATTAATGGCTAGTTAATCGTTTATTAAGCAAGCAAGTTTCTAAACTGAGCTAGAGTTGACTCTAGATATTTTTTTGTTCCCTGATAACCAAATATTTTTTTTTGTTTTTTGCAGGTGCATGATCTGGAGAAAGCTAAACGCTCAATGGACAGCCAAATGGAGGAGATGAGAACCCAGATGGAGGAGCTGGAGGATGAGTTACAAGCAACCGAGGATGCTAAGCTACGACTTGAAGTTAACCTCCAAGCAGCTAAATCCCAGTACGATCGAGACCTGCAAGCCAAGGAGGAACAGGCTGAGGAGCGCCGCCGTGGCCTCATCCGACAGGTACGTGGCTTGGGTTGCGTATGATATTTTGATGTCTGATAATTATGAACAATACTTTATAAAGTGAGAGATTGGTCAGTTCATGAAATAAAATCAATAAATGTATACGGACTTATTGGTTTATACGTATTTATACGTGTACGTGTTTATACATAATTATTGGTTTCATTTCATGAATTTACTATCACTAACTATCACTATATGGAAACCTAATGAAATTATTTGAAGATTATAAAGTGAGATTATTCACTTTGCGCACTACATCAAAAATCATGTTATATGACATTGCTTTCTTTTGTAATATTAATTAGCAATTCACTTTAGTTATCTTTCAATTTCACCTCAGCTACGAGAAATGGAAGCAGAGCTGGAGGAAGAGCGCCGCCAACGTACCGCAGCTGTGTCTGCTCGTAAAAAGCTTGAGGGAGACCTTAAGGAGTTGGAAGGTGTCGTTGAGAACGCCAACCGAATCAAGGAAGACAGCGTCAAGCAACTCCGAAAGTTCCAGGTAAAAAACGAAAGGAAAGAATTAATATTGGATTCTTAATAATATTAATAAGAAGGTGCTTTATAAACTTTTAGTAAATTAATGAAATATTATTCTCGATCTCAATCTTGGTCTTTATTTTGCACCTTCACAGTGGCCTAATCTCATGAAAATTTATGCTTAATACAAGTGAGGCTCGCTAAATACTTAAGCTACAAGATGACTTAATTTGAATACTATGATAATGATTAATGATTAATATTCATGTTTGATTCACATCATCTTTATCATCCAGGCATATCCTACATCTACTGTCATAATTTTTTTCAACTTCTCCAAGCCATCTCCAGCTTTATGCATATTAATAAATGAAGATGAATATTAATTTTTAGTGATGAATATTAATGATTATTTTCAGGCTCAATCTAAGGATTTATTGGCCGAGTTGGATGAAAGCCGTCAAGGACGTGAAGAGGCAGTGGCCAGCGCCAAGGAGCACGAAAAGAAGTTCAAGGGATTGGAGGCGGACTACTTACAATTGCAAGAGGTGACTATAACATAATCGAGTGCATACCTCCAACCTGTGCCTGAATAAAAATACACAGGCTGTGTATGATGGGCAAAACTGCGGCATACCCTCAATGAAATAATGGAATCGCCCTTGTATTCAGGGCACATTGTTTCTGATAATTGATTGGTGTCTTTCTTTGATAATTATGTACCATTCCACTAAATTTTATGAGGATCCATTCATTAGTTTTTTCGTAATCTTAACAGACAGCAGTGAATATATAACCTCCTTGACAGAGGTAATAAAATTACGTTTAGAGACAGGATTTGCATTAAGGCCAACTCAGCATCATATGATGCAGCCTTGCACGATTTACTGTGGTGTTGAGTCTTTGTGATACGTTGTCATAAGACTGCGTCAGGAACAGACATGTCGTAGAATATTAGACATGTTAAGAATTATCAAGACGACATACTATAACTCTCTTATTTGTATAAAGCAAACAGTTGATTAACAGTATCCACTTTCGTCCTATATTAGGAACTTGCCCTGGCCCAACGTGCCCGCCGCAATGCCGAGTCCGAGCGGGATGAGCTTGCCGATGAACTCGGCAGCAACTCTTCCAAGGTACAGACGCTGACCGACGAGAAGAAGCGACTTGAGCAGCGTCTTTCTCAACTGGAGGAAGAGTTGGAGGACGAGACAAATGCCGCAGAGGCTCTCTACGACAAGGAACGCAAACTTCTTACACAGGTAAATTTGCATTTTGTATATATTTTGGATTATTAGTTTTTAATGTCATTATTATTAACCATTTAGTATTCATTATATTACATACATACAACCACCATTATTTCATGTTTCAGAAATTTGTATTTAAACTTAATTTTAACGGATTTATTGAAAATAATTTTTATAGGTTGACCAGTTAACCGCTGAACTGGAAACAGAACGTTCTTCCAACCACCACCTCGAAAACAACCGCTCCACGCTGGAGAGGCAGAACAAAGAACTACGCGCCAAACTTGCGGAGATGGAGAACTCAATGAAATTGAAGATGAAGTCGCAAATCCAGTCATTGGAGACCAAAGTTCAACAGTTGGAAGAACAGCTGGATGTGGAGACCAGGTAATGACATCCTATTTTCATATTCATAATTTAAGGATGTACTGTCTGTCATGAGCTAAAATAATAATAAAAATTAAAATTTTTATATTCAAATACTAAAATCAAATTTATATATTTATGTAAGTGATTAACCTAATTAAACATTTGAATGAGAAAATGAATTTTAAAATGTCCCTATCAATGTATTGTACATGTAATGGACATGTATGGATTCATTTGGCTCGTAATAATGTTTGTAGTAAAATGTCTGTTAATCAGTGCCAAATAATTTGTGTTTCTGGTTGGAACTATTACTGTTGAAGTAGCCATCTCCTTTGGTAGATACGTGGCCATTATTTACAGGTTTTGATGACAAAATCTGAAGTAATTTTGAAGTAACTAATTTGATAATTTTTATATGAGATGACGTTTTAATTTAATACTACATGCAAATAGAGATGATGTTATATTTTTAGTTTTTATTTATTCCAGGCTTTTGTCATTAGACTGACTTTTTTTTTTTTTTTTTTTTTGAGGAAACATGTCCCATTTGATATCATGGAAATCCTATAAGCTATTTATAATTTTCACACTATAACAGAGAACGCCAGTTGGCTGTACGAACCGCTCGTAAGACGGAGAAGAAGATGAAGGAGCAGTCGTTGAACATAGAAGAGGAGCGTCGCCATGCTGATTCCTACAAGGACCAGGTAAATACAACCAAAATCTGTATCAGGGTTTCTAGCATTTTTAAGCACTGGGAAAATCAAAGAGGGCCACCCCCCCCCCACCAGTCTTCCCATTTGAAAATGGTCGAAGCAAAATAATGATGCTTAAGTGGATAAAAATCACCTCTTATCACCTTATTTTGTGAGATTGTTCCCCTCACTTCACCTTTGTCCCCTCTCCCATTATCCCCTCCCATTTCAAGACTATGATATGTCACAGGTCTACACCAAATATACAATAAACAACACTTGCACACGCATAACAATTTCTTTTATTAAAAACACGAAATGTAATACCTGATGTAATTATGTTACACCCTTCAGAATGTATTTTAATAATAGTTTTATATTTATGTTTTTTATAATTGTTAATTGTATGTTGGCGTTTTTTTACAAGATGCTGTACCAATGATTTGTTATCAATATTTTCTGTCAGGTTGATAAAGCCACAAACCGCGTTAAGATGTTGAAACGACAACTTGACGAGGCTGAAGAGGAGACGTCGCGCGTCAACGCCAGCAAGCGCAAGCTGCAGCGAGACTTGGACGAACAAGTAGAGTCGAATGAGAGTCTAACAAGAGAACTTAACCAAGTCAAGAGCCGTCTAAGGTACTATAAATAAATCACATTTTAATTGTATAATTTAACTGTTGATATAAAAATTCTTTTCATATCTGACAGTAGGCAACTTGCAGTTTACAGAATGGAAACATACTTTTCATTATATACAATAGTAGCGCGCTAACTACAACCTTAACATTGGCGCTGGTTTGAGCCCATCCTCACCCAAGGTGCAATTCAGCACAATAACGCTGCGAGTTATGGGTTATTCTCCTACCTTTACCTGTACCTAAATACATTTAAATTCACCTATTGCGAACTTAAGATTGCATTTATACAGACACTGAAGAAGAATAAATGCTGGCTCAAATTTTAATTTAGATGATCTTTAGAAAAAGCAGTTTTACAAACATTCAAAAAAGTTAAAGTTCACAACATTTTTTTCCTTTACAGATCTGGAGGTAGCAGTGGTTTGAGCGGTCGAAGCGCACGCAGCGGATATTCCCGTCACAAGCAGTCCGCGGACAGTGCCAGCTCTGGCAACGAAGTTGATGGTGGAACTACCGCAGATATTGAGGACTAAACCAACGTTCGGTTATCTAATAATTCAACCGACGCCATTTTTTTGTAGTTCATTGCAAGAAATTTCAATCCAAGTAATAGAATATTTTGTAATTAATTAGGTTGAATAAACCAATTTTTTGTATTGATTAAGCAGAAGTTTTTAAAAAGTCTACGATAGGGACTTCTAATACAGTGGATCGCTGATAACATTCGCAAATCGTATTGTTAGGTTTAGCTTGTATGTACTACTATTAACTGTTGTTCTAACAATCACCATATGCAAACAATTGGGGGAGAAACATTTAACTGGTGAATATTGAAAAAAAAATTGTAGATTACATTTTGAGGTGAAAGGTTATGCTGTGATAATTCCAGGTTACATGATGTCATTGACCTTTGACATGATATCTCAAGTCATTAGCACTTGGTCTCTCTATGCACCAGATCTGGTTTCATATTGTAATTGGTAAAAAAAAAGGTTACCTTCGTTTTCTTGTATTTTTGCTATGAATTTTTAGGCAGATAATGCCTACATTATTAATGCTGATAGTGCAGTAGATTGCTTTTACTTGCATATACTTCATAAATGAGTTTTTCCCCGTTAAAAAAAAAAATTAAAAATAGATGGATTAGTAGGTGAAATGAAAGGCCATTTGTATTGTAGATTAAATAAGCATTTTCTCCTTGCAGTACAATGACCAAAGTTTGACCAAAAGAGAGACAATATAGTTCGCCGTGTATGCTCGTTCTCAAGTAAATAATGACAAAAATACCATAATGGGGAAAAAAATGTAATAAAATAATGAATATATACAATTTTTTTTTTAATTTTTTGATAAATGTAGCATTATATTTGAAGTCCAGCCATGATCTGATTATTATTGTTATTGATTATTCTTTGTTCGGTTGCATTTAATGCTGCTGTCAGCCTTATTGTCTTAATTATTACCATTACGTTTCACGGTATTCTCGAGCAATGTAACCATCGTGTTACATAAATTCAATAGCCAAAGACAGGGATTAACTTACTTCTACATAGCATATTATATATTTTGGATATCAATTTGGTATGAAATTAATATTAATAATGATTTAGTCATATTTTTAGTTTTCAAACTTTTGGTAGTACAGTATTTCTTACAATAATAATGTAGATAAATCTAACCGAAATAATGATGTCGACAAAAATTTTGATTAAATTTCTCGAAAAGAAAAGTATGTTGTTTAATTAAGATGACTTGTATTTTTTGATTTAGAATAATGCACTTTTTATGTTGGTAGGCAGTTGTATGTTCCAATGGAATACTGCACTTGCTACGTAGTTGATCAACCGTTTATTACATAATATTATGGTTCCTTTTATTGAAACTCCATGGCAACAAATTAACATAGTTTAACAAAAATGATATATTAACAAAAATTAATTAATATAATGTAAAATACATTACTATTTAGCATTTGAGAGTTATAATAGTAGTAATATTAATACTCGTTATTGGATATTCTCATAAAATTTTCTAGTAATACCTCCTTGACAACTGCTTGGTTAGCAACACTGCCACCACCTACAGTTTTAATTTGACAATTTTTGTATTTGACAACGTATTCTATATAATTTGTTTTGCTTGCATTTTCAACAGTTGGTGCATAGAATTCTATGTGTTGTATTGCAGGAAAAAAAATGTAGTTGATTCAACACATTGTTTGGATTTTGGAAATCCCAAAATACAGGTGTTTCTCATTTTGTTTCAATTGCATATTAATTAGCAAAGGAAGGTACACGGACAGTGCAGCATATTGAATGAACCAAACACGATCATTACTTAAGAACTGTATAAATAAATGAAATTTGCGCATGTAAAAAAGTGAATAGATTAAATTGAAAACTGAGGGCGTTTTGTAAACCAAACAGCCAAGTTTGATTGTTATTGTTGAAACTGTGAGGGCGCTATTTGTATCTTTATTTTGATGCGGTTCTTTTGGATTTTTCGCACTTTGTTTTAAAGTTTGAGTTGGTGAGCTGTTTGTAGACTGCAATTTGTAGTGTTCTCCTATCCTTTTACGCAAAGATGAAAATGTTGATTATTCATATCATGATGCTAAGTATCTTGGTCTGGCGATTTTAAACTCATTGACCTGTAAAACAATAATTGCTCACGTAAAAATAGACGAATCCAAAACGAATCTACAATCATAATACTTATGAATTATTCTTAAGATATCATGCATAATTCATTAAAACTAAATATGTTATTCATGTTGGTTTTGTCTGTAAACTTGTTGGACAATGATCAGAATGTTAAATATTGGCCATCACTCCATACAGAGTAGATCTTACAAAGCTTAATAAATAAAATGCTAAGAAGAAAATGCCAATGTGATTACAGTATTTTGAGTCATTTGTTGTTAAAGACCACATCCATAATTTTCATCATTTTTGAAAAAGCAGTGGCATGCATATCTAGGAGTCTGGAAATGGGGGCCCCTTTAGGGTGGGTGAAAATGTGAAGTGGGGGATCGATGATTAGGCGTGTGGCAATGCTGGCAATATAAGGTGATTTGAGATGATTTTTAACTACTTGATCGTGATTATGGAGGGAACGACTGGGGGTGCAAGTATTTTTTTTTTTGGGAGGCTTGCGCATCCCCTAGATATGCCGCTGTGGAAGAGTACAAATTGTGCTTTAGGAGAGAGGTTGACAATGTAAGAACTGTAATCTTTAAAAAAACCGTTTTATTGAGGAGTGGTTTTAAGTGATCTAGCAGGCCAGAATGCCGAACCCAGTTTGCCGAAACCACATTGAGCAGTCCGCTTTGCCAGAGGCCAGTTTGCCGACTCAAAACCATGAAACTGAATTTACCGGGAAATCTAGTATGCTGATACCAAGTTGGCCAAAAGTCAATTAAATGCAGTGAAATTAACATTCGGCTATCTGCAAAACATTAAATAGGTCTTTCAGATAAAATGTCATAGCATATTTATAATAAATATACTGCATAAAGTTTAATTGAGATCAATTCAATTCAATCTTTATGGTCCAATATATAAAAAAAATATGTCTAATAGTGGAACGAAATGTAGCAGTACGTATATATTTGTTACTTGGTTTTAAAATTAAGAAAAAAAAAATCAATATAAAAAAATACATCAGAAAATCTTTGTTTATACACTGCAATATATAAAAGTTTGGAAATTCAATATATATAAAAAGATTAGGAAACACAATTCAATTTACAATTCAAAAAGGAAAGTTAAAAATAATAAATGTAAAAACAATTCAATATGTACAATTCGAATATATAAAAAAAAAGATCAGATTTGTGAAAAAGAGATTTATTTAAGTGAGTCGGGATTTAAATAGGGCCAAAGATGAAGATGATCTTATGAAATTGAGCAAGTTGTTTCACAGCTTTGAAAAAAAGGACAATAAAAAATAGTAGAATTGGATGATATGGACCAAAGTATGCGACTACATGGATTTAAAACGCAATTTAAAGAGGGTGACAAGCTCGATGTCTCCGACGGGGTCCGATGAGAGCGTAAGTGGGTGTGGTCGGGCGTCGCTCAAAATCTATCGGAAGTAACCCAGGGGAGAAGCCTACGGAAACTAATAATTTCAGGATTTCAAAGGCTAATTTAATCGATTTTAGAGTCTACTGATATGTATAAAGTACATGTTATTTGTTTCTTCTCCCCGATGAATTGTGTTTTTCTCAAGACAAGAGGCCCCTTGTCCCCAGCTCCCACTGTCATCACCAATGTGAAAACTACAAAGAGTGGAGTTATAAGTTGATGGTTTGGAGTAAGAGAAACAAGCCTCGATGCAACATGCAGGTAGCTGAATATGCTTTTTATGTCTTGCTTTTTTCTGTGTGTTTGCATGTATTTTTCCCTGTTTTTTGTTTTTTTGTTTTTTTTTTGTTTTTTAATTTAATGATAATTTAAATAATGATTAAAACAATTATACAAATCTGTTTTTTTTTAATTGTATTTCTTCAATTCAATTTATATCTTTTTATTGTAGGCCTACATAATAAATTTTCTTATTTGTATTATGCTTAATAATAATAATAATAATATAGATGTTTTAAATGTATTTTAAATGTTTTGTATATATCTATTTTTTATGCTCTTTTTAATACAACCATTTCAGCTTTCAGCTGCTGTTTGTAATTTTATGTGACTTTCATACCTGAATAAATAAAAATAATAAATACAAATTGTATAAGTTATATTAATGTATCTAAAGTTAGAAGGCTTACGTACCCGGATGTATATTATCGTAATTCGATGCCTTTAAAATCATAGTTTTGGCCTGCACACAATCCCATATATAGTTTGTCGAGGAAATTAATACAAAACATAGGCCCAGCTGAAGCTTTCCATGACGTCAACATACGAAGACACGCCCCCTCGGCTGAACCCGTTGTATTTAGCTAGCAGACTACCACCTGTTCCTACTGCACCCAGACTATGAGGGCGCTCGCAGGAAGAACATGTGCTTTCTGTTTTTTCTCTGAAAACCACAGTAGAATATCTCTTTAGTTGTTGCTACCACTCTATTTATGACTTTTTTGGACAAGGAAGGCAATCTTTACTACAAGATTTGCTGAACAATCTGTAAGTAGACTTCAACACATTAAAAAATTACATGCTGAACAATCTGTAAGTAGACTTCAACACATTAAAAAATTACAGTTGTTGCTGCAGTCCTAGGGCCTAGGCTAGGCTAGAACTAAGCTGAACCAGACTGGGAACAGAAGCATTCTGGCCGGCCAGTCAGTACTGGACTTGTTCGGCCTAGGTTCACAAGGCATGGGAAGCAGTGGCGGCGCCAGGGTCTCAGATCATTTCGGCCGCCAGATGTTTAGCAATAAAAAATATGGCGCGCCAATAGAGTTCCGTTAGTAGACTTGTGAAGTGTGGTTGTTGCAGGATGCGGAAGCGTAAGCGTAGGCAAATAATAATGGTGTTCGATCCAGTGGTGGAGCCTTTGTCATAACAGAACGCAAATTATTTTTAATAGTCTTATTGAATTATTATTATTATTATTATTATTATTATTATTATTATTATTAATTGTTATTGTTGTTGTCGTGATGAAAAGTTAACACAAATAATATGGTGGCTAAACAAATGTTACCTGTAAATATTTTTTTTTATTTGTTTGTTCCCCGACAAAATTTATCGTCTTCCCCAAAGGGGAATATGCTTCCCCGATGGGGGGGGGGCTATGCTTCCCCGACGGGGGTCTATAGCCCCCAGCCCACCGTCTGGCGCCACCACTGGTTCGATCATTTCGGCCGCCAATCATTTCGGCCACCGCGCCAAATGTATGGAACGCCAAAGAGGCCACCAAATACACAACAGCTGTCCCTTATATATTATATAAATTCAAAGTGTAACCATCTCCGATATGTTTTACGTACAACATGATTTTTTAATTAAATACATTTGTTGATTTCGTTTGATGGTTAAGACAGTGACATGAATTAAAAGGGAAAATATTTACTGTATAGTATACAACCTCAATTCGTTTGTTGATATGTTTGAATTTTAGATTTATTTTTCTTGCGTGATTCACGCAAAAATATTTACTGTATAGCATATATATATTTCTTCACTTGTTGATATGTTTTAATTTTTTATTTATTTTTCTTCCATGATGAAAATGAACAAAAATTGTAGTGTTAAAAATCGTCTTGTTGTTTCTTGTTTTTTTTTTTTGTTTTTTTTGTGCTTTTTAAAGTTTATGGTCGAATAAATAAATGAAAGATGAAATGTATAGCTTATACTCTACATGTAGGATTTGTCATTCATAGTAATATACAGTTAGTTATTTCGTAAGTCACTGGTTGAGCCCTTTGAGCATTGGTGAATAAAACGAGAAAAAATTTTACACAAATTGCGCCTTGTGTTTTATGTACAACTTTGATGACATGAATACAAAATATAGTGCCGCCAATAATGATTTCGAATTTCAGAAAGAAATTAAAGTTTTAAAAAAAATTTTTATTACGCCCGCCGCTGCCTTGAAATCTCCAAAAATAATTGCATATTTCTTACTTAGGCCTATATATTATATGAATTTAAAGAATTTAACCATCTCCAATATGTTTTATGTACAACGTGATTTTCTAATTATATACTCTACATTTAAAGCATTTAACCATCCCATTACTATACGGTTTACCAATAAAACAAGATATAAAAGATACATGGTGTTATATTTTTTATTGTACAATGTGTGAAAAGTTTTACTACAATCAGTGCATAAGGACCAACGACGACCTGGAAGGTTGGCATTACCGCCAAAACCACAGAGAAAGACGAGGAAAGATAATTAAAATAAAAACTGTTACTTTTAACTAAACTGTGGAACTAACTACCAAAATGCACACTCATTTGAATAGTACTCTTATACAAACGAGAAGAATATGATAACAATGGTGGCTTTTCATCTGTTTACTTCTTTTGTAAGGCTATTCATGTTATGATGCATTTTGGTAGTTAGTTCCACAGTGTTAGCATAGTTAAAAGTAACAGTTTTTATTTAAATATTATCTTACCTCGTTTTCCTCTTTCACACATAGTAAAATAAAAAATATAACACCATGTATCTTTTTATATCTTGTTTTATTGGTAATCAGTGTAGTAATGGGATGGTTAAATGTATATAATTAGAAATATTATATATATCAACAAGTGATGAAACAAAGTTGTATACTATACAGTAAATATTTTTTGCGTGAATAACATGTCATCATGCAAGAAAAATAAATAAAAAATTCAAACATATCAACAAACGAAATGAAGTTGTATATTATACAGTAAATATTTTCCCTTTTTATTCATGTCACCATCTCAACCATCAAACGAAATCAACAAATGTGGCAAAGACAAGCCAAACCAGTCACTCGTCGCAAATCGTGTTTCAAAGAAAATGGCCAAAACATGCTGGAATGTCAAATTTTAAAAATCTATTTTATTGCACTAAACTAATCTTTACATATCTATACATCATTCTATGCCGTTATTTTCCCAATTTTCAATTTTTAAACAACACTTTTTAAGAATTTGATGATAGTTTCTGCATGAGAAATGCCTGAAATCATAAACTTTGAAGGCTGATTTTTCATATATTGTTCTTTAAACAGCTGTATGTTTAAAAGCTTGTAACTTCATAAGGATATGTCGGATTAGAATGATTTTTTTACCATTTTATAGCTATTATTTTACTCTCTAACACTGTATTAATAACTCAAAATCGATTTTTGCGACGAGTGACTGGTTTAGCTTGTCTTTGCCACAAATGTATTTAATTAGAAAATCATGTTGTACATTAAACATATAGGAGATGGTTAAATGCTTTAAATTTATATAATATTAATATATAGGCCTAATCTTAAGGAAGAAATATACAATTTGAAGATTTCAAAGCAGCAGCAGGCATAATAAAAATTTGAAAAAAAAAGCTATAATTTTATTATGAAATTCGAAATCATTATTGGCGGGGCATTTTATTATTCATGTCATCAAAGTTGTACATAAAACACAAGGCGCAAGATGTGTAAAATATTTTCTCATGTTATTCAACATTTCTCAACATACCGGTAAATAGATTCTTAATTATTCACTGTAGGCCTAGGCTTACATATTTTCTCCTCTTTGTTACTGACGTATCCAGCTGTCGTATGACTGCGTTCTTCTCATTGGCGGCTGTTTTTATTTGGCGGTCTCTTTGGCGTTCCATACATTTGGCGCGGCCGAAATGATCGAACACCGACCTAGTAGGGCCTATGCTCTAATTAAAAGGTAATAATATTGATTAATTTATACCCAATATTATCGGGTATATTTTGAAACAGCGCCGCCAACGTCTCGCAACTCACTAGGGGACTTCCGGTGGCCTAGCCTAAGCTGCAGCTGTCTATATTGCAAATCGACCACTGTGCAGCGGATAGCGCTGCTACACCTTTGCTATAGCAGCCGTAGACAACAGATACGATCTTGCTAATTACCGTATGTAAATATTGAAATACGGTAGCTTTTTAATACTTATAATTTTTTTAATTATAAAAATTTCATGTTTTTTTCCATTTTAAGTATTTGTGCTCGTTAGTAATTTAGATTTATCGTTGATTTAACCATGATGGTTAGTAGTATGTAGAGCGAAATGCTAGGCCTCTGAAAGTCCCCCATGGTAGTTGCCGGAAATTTTCATTTCAAATTTCTAGAAAATGGTCTATAGATAGTCATTCCTGTGGATACTGGCCTCAGCGATTTTAAAATCATACAGGTGTACGTATTATTGGGGAGCGATTTTAAAATCATACAGGTGTACATATTATTCAGGGGTATAGCCCTCCTCCCCGCTAAGAAAAAGGCAAAAAAGTTACTGAACAATAAAAAAATAATAGTGATATGAATTTCAGAATATTCATTGTGGGCATCTAATAACATATTGTTCTAAGTGGGATTCACCTAAAATTACTGTTTTTATGTTGCTAATTGACTATCAAAAGCAAAGGTTAGAATGAGCTCAGTATATCCATACAATATTATTGTTAATAATCACAATTTTGTTTTCTAAATTACTATTCATAAATGTTAAAAAATTTTTGTTTTAAATATTCATCATAAATTATATTTACCCAGTATTATAAAACTTCTTACTTGTGCAATACATCATCATAAATGACGTTTACCCAATATCATGGAACTTCAATTTGATAGTATGGAGGTATTATCCATGCTATCAGAATGCTGTATCATTATAAATGATATTTACCCAATATCATGAAAATTCAATCTGATAGTATGGAGGAATTAACCATACTATCAGAATGCTGTACGAGAAGGTTGAAGAGAATTACATTGGGATGTCTTATAGTCAAGTTTTATCCAACTGATGTTGGTGTTGAATATATATAAATAAAAACCCTATGAAATAATGTTATTTAAGGGAGAATTAATTTAAATTAATATTACACATTTACTTTTACCATTTTTATTATTAATGCAAGTCTTAATATTTGTTTGTTAAATCTAATATCATTTTTGTGTTACAGGCTGTTTGCTAGTTGACTCATTTGCATAATTCAAGAGACCATGGTCTCATCACAATGATGTATTATGATAATGAATATTCATTGTCAGACACTTGAAACTACAAAAATCTGGAAACTGCTGAAATGACACCACAACAAGAACAACTTCTAGATAGCATGTAAATGTGCATTTCACCACAGCGAATCACGCGCACTTTGTAGCCTTCCACCGCTTGGATAGGCCAGGGAACATTTTAAAGTAAGTCCACAATCAGACCAACACATAAGTTACTTATATATAATTAACCTTCTTGACAAACAATCCATCTAATCACAACCATCCATTTCATGAATGCATAATAAATATTTCAGTGTAGACCAGGTAGTGTTAATGTCCATATTTGCTACTATGTACAAGGTTCACCTTGATTTTACAATTTTTAGCCCACTCCCTGAGGGAGAGGGCTTGTACTATGATTTTGAGTCATTTCTTTTTCTATCAGGGCCTTCATTTTTGAAGCGATTTCTATCAGGGCCTTCATTTGTGACGCGATTAGGCTGATTTTGTAATAATATAGAAGAAAAAGCTTGGGAAATTTAAAGTATGTAAAGAGTTTTTCGAAAATATTGTCGGGAAATCCGTGAAATTGTATGTTTTTATATCATATCTCTTGCCATTGGGATGGGTTTCTTAAGAAAGGGTGTTCGTCATTGGTCATATTGTGTGTATAAACCAATCACAGCCTAGAATGGTATGCTTTATGGCAAATAATGCATCTGTGTTGAGTCTAGATAGTGATATGTACTGCTGTTTCGTTTCGCTTGCAAGGCTGGGTGGTCTAGAATATGAAATAATACAAAAGAAATTATATGTTGGTTTTTTGTTTTTTTTTGTCCCTCCTCTACTCTGTTACTTTTGGCAGGATAATTTTGCTAAATTAAAAAATAATATTTTTGTATTTCTCCTGCCCGCCGCTAAACACTAAAAAAATTAGATGAGCTAAACAAGATATTAAAAAAATATTGTCTTATAAGCCAATACCTGATTTTCAACAAAAATTGCGTAGAAAACAGCCTTTGTTTTCCAAAATATGTGGGCGGATTTCTAGGGTCAATTTATTCGCCCATGCAGGCCTTATTTTACAGTCAGGAATATGGGAAAGAAAAAAGTCCTTGGTATGAGTATTTTAATTGTGCAGTGACTACATCTAAAACGTAAGGAGATAATGTGCAAGCAATTGAGAATTCTGCATTAACAGTTAGGCGCGATCGGCAAATTATTCCAGACGGCAAAATGCGTATAGGTCAACACACTATCACGAACGCGTCTAAGAAATCAACCATTCTAATTACCATTCTAATTACCATGCTACATGAATATTCATTTGATACAAGCTTGAATTACGGCTTGCGTCTGGACGACAGTGAATTGTTTGGACGCTTGTTGGGACGCTATTGTTTACTACTACTACTAGCACGGCCAACTGGCCCACTCGAGTGTGTAGAAATGCTGGCGGTTCAAATAATGTTATTATGCAGCTCCTATTCTTTCTTATACGTACATGTGACTATACTTTCTCTATGCTTATATGAAGCTATAAAATGAGATTTGTAAATTACATGATGACAACGTGCCTGGAGGTCCAGGGCGCGGAATGCGCTAAGCGAGTTAGATTGGAATTCGCTTTGTACGCTGCTCTGTAGATAGAACCATGTTGAGACTCTAAAAATATAGCACTGACGTTTTCTTTGATAAAGTGATGGCGGGCGGGTACATTAGAATTACAAATCACAAACATACTTCAAATATACTTTAAGTGCCATGGTATAGTCGGCGTTACATTCTGGCCTAAATATAAAATTGTCATACTTGTCATAATCGGTGTTCTCCGCAGGGCAATAAGCTGTAATGGTACCGTTACAGCTTCATTCAGAAAACAATTTTACCTACATTCATTGTGCCTACATCACTCTTTCTATTTAACATTTTAAAACACAGTTTATTAATTGTATACTATTTCTAAATAAACATCAACAACTTCAGACATTCTGAAGTCTAGGCAGTGAAAGTTGGCCCTCATCCAAAAAACCAAAAACAATCACGCACCAGTGGCACTAGGTGAAAGGTCGACCATGTGGCTTTCTCCCCTCGTGCGTAATTTTTTTCTTAAAACTTGCTTTTTATATCTAAATTATTATGTCTACGTGGTAATAGATAAATTTCTACACAATATAATGTTTATTATTTGTTGTTTTATTTTTTTAATTAATTATTAATGTATTTAATAGTAGTCTAGTACATGCAAATTTGCTATGTCAAAAAGGCTCACCATACACTGTGTTTGGCTGTGGTATCTCTCTGTCTATTGTCATGGTATGGCAAGCTTCTGATAGGTATCTCTTTGGCGGTTTGAGCAGAGTTTGAGATCGTTTCAAGAGATACCTAGGCCTAGCGTGTTACCTGTCAAGTTTTTTTTTTTGTACAATAGCTTATAATTTAAAGTATAGAAAATAAACTATAACAAAATGAAAACATACACAACTAAATGGAAAATTTCATTTACCGGTAAACCAATAAATAATTCTACTTATAAATTTAAATTCCAAAAATCAACACATTTATTTTAAAAAATACAAGTCACAGTGTCAAGTGCATATACTTTGCTATGTAAATAACATTTTATTATTAATTATTATTACAATTTTAAAAATAAAATACCTTAAAAAAAATTAATGTAATCTTCTGGCTTGGGAGGCCCTATACATTTTTATTAGTTTATCACCCTATCTATGGTGGAAAAGTGATGAAGAAGGGAAGGCCGAGTTTTTTTTTCAAATTTTATTTTAAAAAATGAAAAAAATATTTTTAAAAAATAAATAAAAATTGATTTTTGATTTTTTTTTTTTTTTTTTTTTGTAGAGTAATAAAGTAACAAATTTTTTTTTATTGGGCCTAATAATTTTATGACCTTAAAGCAGGATTATTACAACTGCGGCATCGTGAAATATGCGCCGAATGAGGTGTCGCCGCGCATATTCCCATTACACCTTAAAAAAATCCTGGGGAGAACACTGCAAAAACGTTTTTTTATTACAAATTTACTTATTTTTAGTTGTTTTTCTTTCTCTCTTTTATACATTGATCGCACCAGATTTGTGTGTGCCGCTGAAACAAAAGTGTATGTTAAGTTGAATAAATAAATAAATTACAGTATTATCGCGAGTTGTCAGTAAAACCTTTACTGTGTAGACAATGGTTTAGCCTTACCCGTTTTTATGGAATTCACAAGTTGAAATTTCCAGGGGAAATTCGGCATAAAAAATATGTGTTTCGCATGAAATTCACGTAAATTCAATTAATAAATGTTGTTTTATAAAATGTAAATATAATTTAGCTTAGTATAATGCAAAATTTCATCCATTTGATCACGGACAACATTTTCGGAGGCATGGGTCTTAGCATGTGATCCCCCTCAATGGCAAGGGGAGCAATTAATTGCTGTGCTGGATGTTACCACAGCTGCACAGGAGGGTGATTGCTCTTCTTAAAACATGATGGTGGCATGCGACTACATAGGAAATAACTAAAAATTCAGATTTTTTAACGTTATATTTGCTCATCAATTTGTAAAATCACTGAATATTACGATAGTCTCACCTATGCAAGGTACTAGAACAACGTCCCAGTATCCAACTATTTTTTTAGCATTGACCAGGGACCTCCCTGAGTTTACTTACTTCTGTCAGTTCTTGCACACATAGGTGGCGTACAAAGAGAGTTCGCTAGCAGGTAAACAAATCCGTACTTGGGTATAGCGGCGCGTAGACAGGCGTATTTTATTTTCATTTTATTTTAATTCACATTCAACAGTGGGGAGCCCGCCGCTTACAGAATGGAATACGTAAAACACAAGAAAGACGGAAAACATCAAAATCACTTACTCAAGACCTTTCTCAATTTTGTACTTAAAAATATTAAAACTATTATGATTCATTTTAGAGAGTTGTCTATAATAATATTAATAATAATAAGTAATAATAATACGTTTTACGGTGTATTCAACCAGCCATAGTTAAAGGGGAGTAGCAAAAGCCAAAACGGAATATCGGCGTCCAAACGATGCACTATTCAAACGGCGTTTTTAGACGCGTTTTGGTAGATTAAAAGAAAGCACGTCTGAACACAGATTTGTCTTCTGGAATAATTTGGCGATCGCGGCTAAATATACAGTATATTAATGTCAAATACATTTATGTGATTCTTGTTCTTAAAATAATTACATTAATGATTAACATTAAAATTTCATTATTTGACCTAATGTTGGAAGTAAATAATGATGATGGTAATAATAATATTAAAATAATGTTTTTATTTGCTACTGTATGGACAAGTATTATTGTAGAATTAAAATTTACATTTAATGTTTGTAAATATAAATGTTGCTTTTCTTTTCCTAATTCTGGTTTTTAAATAAATGTATGTATTTTATTTCAGCAAAAATTTTGTAGAAGGCTGAAAGATTTCAGCAAACCGGTGGAATCATCCTGCTCATCTCACTGACTATAATGTTGCTTTCTTGTTTTGCGCTCGTTAATTCTGCTGAATGGTGAGTGAAAAACTTGTTCTTATGAATTTCTTGTCTGTTGTAAAAGCTTTGTGTAATAACGTTCGACCTGATTCATCACTAAGAATCAACATTACAATTTCAATATTACAACACAAAAACCCTAATTAAATTATTTTAAAATAAATTAAAATAAAATTTTACATGAAATAAGTTTTTAATTGAAATTAATATAAATAACAGGGTGATACAATTGGAGAGATCAAAATAATGATATTATTTTTAAATTTATGTCATTAATATGACAAAACAATGAACAAAACTATATAGAGTGGTTTTCTAATAAGTATTGACCTTGACAAACAATTACAGAAAGTGAACATATAGACCCATTAACAACTTTTGAGAGATATTTATGTTTGGGACATCAGAAATTTAAATGACCCTCACATTTACACCATAAACTGGATCATGCCCAACACATAATTTCTTCCTTATAATTTTGTTAAATTTTCCCATATGTTTCGTTCAGATTGATCCGTTTTAGAAATATCTGGTCTGGGACTTTTTCCTTTGAATGTTCCTCATATCCATACCCTACTACGGATCGTCACTAAAATTTGATTATTTCTTTATTTGACCATGAAAAACTATTCTGCAAAGTTTCATTTTCATCCAATTATATCTGGGATGTAAGCAATTAAATAACCCTTAAATTTACACCCTAACCTGGATCGTCCCCAACACATAATAATATCTTCATTTTATCTTTCCCGAAAGTTTCATTTAAATGAGTTGATCCATTAGTGTGAAATATTTGGTCTGGGATGTTTTCATTTGAATGGTCCACATATCCACACCCTGCTCTGGATTGTCACAAACATTTAATCATTTCTTTACTAGACCTTGACAAACTGTTATACAAAGTTTCAATCATACCCATTGATATTTACTGTAGGTCTGGGACCTGACAAATTTAAATGACCCTCAAATTTACACCCTAACCTAGATCAATCTCCCAACACATAATTTCTTCCTTGTTACTTGGTTACTTTCCCGAAAGTTTCTTTCAAAGATCAATTGACCCGTTTTTGAAGTATCTGGTGTAGATTGATTGCCCTTAAATCACATTAATTGGTCCTCACATCCACACCCCACTTTAGATTGACACTAAATATTAGGAGGCACATCCTTGATGTATGGTTTATGCTTCGACAAATCATGGATAAGTTTCAAGCATGGTAAAAGATAGGGAAAAAAATCAAAACAAAAACAATGGCTTTTCCAGCTACTGCTGAGAAAAGATAATAATAATAACAACAGCGCTCAGTAGAGAGCATCCTGCCCACCACCAATCTCTTTCTATAAAATAAATCCTCAAAAATATGTTTTTAATTTTTAACCACCATCTACTTAAAATACACTAACACAAAATTTTCATTCAGATCAGTTGATTCGCTTTGAGATATCTGATCTGGGACGTTTTGCTTTGAATGGTCCTATATCGACATCAAAATTAAAGCATTTTTCGAACGCTTTTCATTGTGTCAGTTGTACACCTGCCTATTCCCTGGCTTAACACCCTGGCACGTTTTACTCTTATAGCTGACCAAAAAAATACCTGCCATGTATTGGTGTTGAAATGAAAATATTATGCAAATAGAAATATGAGGATTTGGTTTTTAGCGTCACATGTTTAAATGTAAAGATCCATTAAAAATATTCCCAATCAGTTCTGAAAATGTGAAGTTAAGTATAATGGTCATTTTCACAGTAAGGGGTGTAACTTTTTCCAACAGGGGTCGAAATTTCAAAATAGGTTTCCATATACATTTCTACAAAAATCATATGTAGAAATGTCCAAATTATTTTTAAAATGTCATTTTGGAGCTTAATCTACATTAAAAACTTGACTAATGCTATGCTAAACCTAATAAATATGATCACTTTGAGCAAAAACTACATTAGATTTGCATTGCTCAACTGATATCATGTGCAGAGCAAAAACATTTTAATTAACATTTTTCATTGTCATTATAATGTAGTTCATAGACTAAACATTTTTTCTTTGTCAAACTGAATTGGTCTTTCAATATTTTAATGTAATTCCCCATATAACATGAAAAATTATACTAAAATAACTTTTTTTAGGTTCATTTACCTATTGCAAAAGCGGATGTGAAGTAAAACATAGTGTACAGATAACCTTTAGTTAGGGTTACTTACCAATGCAAATTCTAAAGAAATTGCGCATTCATTATACCAGAGATGTAATTTTCAGGATAACACGTTTCGGAGATTTCAGTTAACAATAACATAGGTTTCGGAGGATTCAAAAATGTTAACATGATAAGCTCATTATTCAGATAACAATTTTTTGAAAACCCAAACTGTATTATTAATAAAAAGTCTAAATGTAATTTATTTAACATACTGTATTCGTTTGAAAATTGTTTTACATTGGTTACAACGTCAACGAAGTACTGTACCCTTACTGTACCAATGCGTCCTGTCTTATGTTTAGTAGTTAACATTAGCAACCCATATTGGGTTGTCATTCTATGGAAATATATACCGTATATTCTGGTGTATAAGCCGCACCTGTGTATAAGCCGCCCCCCCCCCCCAACAAATTAGGACACGAATATCACAATTTTTTGTGTCACCTGTGTATAAGCCGCACCTATTTTTAAGCTCCAAACCGTTCCCATAAGGTTAAGTTTTTAATTATTTTGAAACATTGATATTATTTATAAATGTTCACATAAAGAAATTTCATCTTTTTCGGCAAAAATGCATGTAAATTGCTGGCTACCGCCATGTTAACAACGTATTCTTGCTCTAGGCAGCCGGCCCTAGAGAAATCCCCATTTTTTGCTAGACGGTCGTGCTACGTTAAATTTTCAAAATCAGTTTAGTTTAAGTTTAATAAAATAAAACACTTATTGAGTATATTTATCTATTTTAAACAATCATTCTATTATTATGTTGACTAAAATAACAGTCAGTATTAGGCTAATTAGGCTGATTTTCGCTGCGGCTCGCGATCTGAACTTGGTTAATGACCGGTATATAGGTCGCACCCCAAACTTCAAGGGGGGTGGGGGGTGGAATCGCGTATAAAATTTGTGGCTTATACACTGGAATATACGGTATTAAGAGTAAAATTCAAAATGTATTTCAATTAAATTGATTTTGTTGTATCAAAGTTGAAGCTCATGAAACTAATTTGGAGGTTTCAAGTTAATAATGACACATGTTTCGGAGACTTGAAAACATGTTAACATACAGTTATATTTAATAGTTATACTTTAATACTGTCTAATACCAAACTTAACAATTATTTCCGAACTAAACCAACTTACAAGGTTGTCACTGTATAAAACTAGGGTGGGGGTGATAGACATTTTAACATTTCAAAGAAAAGGGTGGTGTGGGTGATAACATTGGTAAACTCTGAATCACATGTGGGCTAAGTGATAGAAAACCCCTCATTTTTTAAGGCCCTACTCTAAATAATAAGAGTTGATTTTAAGGATGGAAGTGTGGGTTAATAAGGGTGGAGATCGAGCCATGAAATTAGGTTTAGACTGGATGGAAAACCCCCTCTCTTGCAAAATATATTATACAATACTATATAATCTTTTATTATTTTTAGTAGTAAATATTACAATAGTTAAACATCTAACAATGAGATTCTATAAGGATTGCACATTTATAAATGCCCAATATGCAATACGAGTAGATTTCCAGTATAAAAACGTAATGGTACTAGATTTAGTCTACAGGAGTATGTGCTTCAAACAGGTCATTCCATTCGTAGAAGTGTTTTGATGAAGAAAGTGTACCTTTTTGGAAAGGGTTTTCTAGTTTAAAACTCAATTGGGCTTATACGAAATTGATTATAAACTTGAATTGTTAATCTTATTAATGTAAGGAATACAGTGCAACAGTATGTTCACGTTTACTTTTATTTACAAGTTGAATTATATAAAATTCAAATTCACTGTTGTAATATATAGTTCGCCTAATTTGCTTTTGAAAAATCAACTTATTTAATATTTACAGGAATGTTAAACTTTCCATATTTCCTCACTTTTTAGTGCTAGATAAATTTTGAATTGGTGCTATGTAAATATTTGTTATGATTTATATTTATCATATCATTTATATATGATTTATATATTTATAATTATTAGTATTATCATATCCTAATTTGATTAAAGACCAAATTTTGTGATGATTTTCCATTCATACTTGCGCACAGTTCTTGAATAGGCCTATATCATAGCACCAATCTTTTAGGTGTCTTAACATTATTGAAGACATTTTCCTAATGTCCATTAAAATATCGTATAGAAACATTTTACACTAACACTAATCTAAAAAATATTAGACGAGGACTTACCACACTACAAAAGCAACACATGTGAGAATTCATTAAATTCAAATTTTGTTAGTACAGTGTAGTGGAAGGAGCAGATATTTAGTATAATATTTAGTATTTTAGGTAAGTAGAATGTACCGCTTCAGTGTAACAGAATAATATATATAAATTGACCATATTACTAAAATAATTTTAATACATTGACAAATAAGGAATGTTTACATCTATCACAAATTTAACAAAGTACTGTACAATCCAATTTTATCTTTCCGGTATCTTTAAAAAAAGAAATTAAATGAAAAGAAATATAATACTCCTGGGCAGTGGTGATGGTCAACAATGTCCCCCCCTCCACCCAAGATGTCAGAGTGCTTTCTGTACAGTAATAGGGAAAATGATATATAATTACTGTATACTAATAATTGCCAGCAGGTTTTTTATATTTTTCTTTTTTGGCGGGGAGTGGGGTATTCATTTATATATAGGAGAATAGTTTTCAGGCTAATCTAATATTATTTTTGGCTTTCAAGTCTCTCAAACAGTGGGAGGGTGACAAGACAGAAGATGGTTCCTCACATCATTTAAAATATTGTCATTTATACAAGTGCCTTTTTTCTTTTTGGACAACCTTTTTTCTTTTTGGACAACCCTCCGG